AGAAATGCCATGTGTGTTTTGATGAAGGACAAGCAGGATGCAGAGGAGAAGAAAGCAGCCACCATGTACATGAGAAATGATGCTTGTCTGAATTGATGTGTAGCAGAGGAGAGGAAAAGAGTAGAAAGTGGGTACTTAGAAAAGAATAGTACCTTATAACTAATTGCACAAGATAGACGATTAATTTCCATGTCTACCCCGGACATTCCTATTTGCATTTTGTCCTTTCATAATTATTAACATCTTTGCATTCAAAAACATCCATGTGTGGATAATAAAGTATACATTAATACAGAGATAAAGAGAGAGAAGGAAAAAAAGATATTGCCCAGGTTTTCAGCTTCAAGAAGCCAATGGCAAGAGTTGTGTACTACAGGGGGAGGAAGTGGAAGAATGCTATGAGAAGAGTGTATATGCTCACATTTAACCCCATGGTGTTAAGGGAGACTCACACACACACACAAGTGAAGTCAATAATCAAATTACTGAAGGGTCAGGAGATCAAGGAGATATTGGTCAGAAATGCAGTGACTTGAGAATGCTCAGAATGGATGGTAACTGGAGTGAGGAAATGTGACATCACAAAGCCAGAGAGTGTGGACAACCACATCAGGAAGCTGAGGCCCTTGAGGGCCTAAAAACGACACCTGTTCCCCATGGATGAGCAAATCAGGAGGCATTTACAAAAGAGTCCTGGATGAAAGAGGCCAAAGTCATGACGCTAGCAGGTACACTGCAACGGATGGCCCATGAAAAGGCAGTGTTGCAGATAGGAAGTGCTCAGAAAAGCCAACAGCTTCTAACATTCAAATAAAGAGAAATGTGCCTCTTCAATCCCAGTCACTAGTAAGTCGATGCTGGCCCTGGCTTGCTTGTGGTAAGGGTTGTATCCCTTGTTTGTGGAGTTCAAGGACATTTACAAAGATGTATGAGTGATTGATTTGTACCAAATTACAGCTGAGAAAAGGAGAAACCCCCATAATATACCAGGAGGATGTGTAGAATTTGAGTGTGATGTTTCTAAAATACTGTAAGATCCCCTAAAAAACTGTGCTTAGAGATGTCATCTGAAATACCCATCATGAAGGAGAGAAAAATGATTCTGTCTAATCACAGAAATTAGAATAGTTTTAACCTTCATGTAAATTTATGTGACTTTACTCTTTTGGTCTAGAGTTGGAACAAAATTATTTTATTTGTGGGAGCAAGGATATGTTATATAAAAAGGTTACTTAGATGTTTTCCTCCCCCCCCCAAAAAAAATGTATCTCCTAAATGTGCTCAGTAAAAATAAGATTCTGGCTTTTTTTCCACCTTCATTGTGCAAAGAATTATGCCATTCTAGGCTTCTGAAAACTGGGGATTCTTTGGATGCTCTCTGGCAAGTGAAATACGAACAGATTTAGGGCTTTCTGAAACTGACATTCTCCATTGTCTTCGTGCGTACATAGATTATATGAGGCACAGGGGGGGCCACCACTGTGATAGGTATCCTCTCTCTTTGAAGAAAATAGGAATTGCTCACTTAAAAGCTATTGTATATTTCCATTAATGCATCTTCTAAAAGTGGAAGATTTTATTTCTGTTCTTTGGTCCTACTGAGCAAAAACCTAGAGAAATAAATGGGACTGAACATACAGAGGAAACCAGCTGTGTAGGCTGAGTCAGGAGGATTGCAAGTTAAGCTGCGCTATGGAATGAGTTCAAGGCCAGCCTGAATTTTGGGGGAAGACTCTGTCCCCGCCCCCCCAAAAAAGCATACAGATGAATAAATTTGCACATTTTCTTTTTACAAAGTACTGTTGGTGGTACTATTAGTAATAATAACATGTGAATCCTATACTGAAAGTTTACAGTTCAGGGAAAAAAGCCATCCACTCACACGTATATGGAGAATCTTATTCAAGTTTGGTAATTATGTTAACAGTTGGTCAATAATCTGCAGGTCAATTATAATCATGACCTATAAAGCATACTTGACCTTGGTCACTTTTCTTTTTTAACCATTTGGGTAACTATAAATAGGATCCAACTCTAAGAAGGCCACAGATTATCACTTTAAAGTGATTCGTGGATTTACATAATACGTGAATTATCTTAACACCCCATGCACTGAACACACCTGCAAGTTTAACAGTTTCTTTGTTCAAACATTGACTTTTATATTTGACATTCCACTTCGGGGAATATATTTAGATTAATTTATCAGAAAATCTATTTCTAATAAAACTTTCTTTTAAAAAAATTCTTCATCCTTTGAATTTATAATTGCTTGCCTACCATTTTTTTTGTGTGTGTGAGTTTCATTATTTAATGATGCAGCATGGATAGTATTTAAGCTTTTTCTGGTGGCAAATTATTTCTGGACCTATATTCACAATGTCCATTCTATCTGTGCCTGTGTGCATTTTTATGTTTGAAAAGATTTAGCAATTCTGGGGTTTCTTATAAAATATAGTATGGTACATGTGACACCTGAATTAAAACATATTAAAGAGATGGACCTTGGCTGGGAGATGACGCGATTGGTAATATTCTGTAAAAGCAAGGGGACCTGAGTTTGATCCCCAAGTCATCATTATTCAAACTACTAAATCTACACACAGTTTCTAACATATGTGCAAAGCATTTGCCACAGTTTGAGAGAATTTCAAGAGTGTACATAGTGTGGTTTCAACGTAAGGGTTCTACATCACGATAATCAAGGACAGACAAAAAGTGCTGGGATTGTTAAGATAACCCGATTGGTAAAGTGCATGCCAAACGGGCATAAGGAGCTGAGTTCAAATCTCTAACCCCCATGTAAAAAGCTGGGTGTGTCAAGAAGCTGTAGCAGGTGGACCCCTATCCCAACAGTTCAGTGAGAACCTCAGTTTCAAAAAGTTCCATCAGTTGAGAAAGACAACCATACTCCCATGTAAGTGCATGAATATGAACACAGAGAGAGAGAGAGAGAGAGAGAGAGAGAGAGAGAGAGAGAGAGAGAGAGAGAGCACAAACAGGCATCAAATAAGAACTGATCGCCAAAGCACTGGCAGTTTATGTCAGGTATGTCCGAGTACCAAGGGATTGTCATCTCTACCCCGTGAAAGTCAACTGTAGCAAAGAACCTGAGCAGAGGAAACTTTAGTGAGTGAACTGTAGAATTTATCCCACAGATGAAAGTTTCTCTCGGGAGATTTCTAAATCACCTTTTTTAAATTCCTTTGTGAAGACATATCTATGTAAACTAAAAGTTTGATAATTACAAACAATAACCATTTTGCTTTTGGATTTTCACATGCAGTTTAGGAATACACTCCACCTGTTTTAGGTATTTATGCTTACACCATGTGTGGATGTGTATATACATTCATCAAGTCACTCGAGAAAAGGAATGCCAGCAGGTTTGAATAAGTTGCAGACAATGAGATAGTTGGCCGTGTAGTATGCACTGAGTGACTCCTACTCCTAATTATCCACAGCTGGGGAAGTTATCTACAGCTGTGAGGATGGGCATGGCCATGCCCTGCCCAGCAAGCTCCCTTCACTTAATCGCAAAGGCAAGCTGGGCATGTCTTTACTTCATTGCAGTCTCTACTTCAGAATAACCATTTCCAGTTGCTAAACTATTGGGATATTTCATTCTGTGGAACTGAAACAAGATGGTTCAGTGGACTGTCTTACAAACTTAACTAACACCTTTTCAAAAGTGTATCTTCTATTTAGATTTAAAGTGAAACATTTATGGAAATATTAGTCGGAGATAGGTTTGCTTTTTTTTTTACTTTGAAAAATTATGCTCACCTCGTGGCATCAACTTGCCAATGGGAAAAACTGGAGCAGACATTGAGATACGTAGAACCTGGATGTTGGAGAGAAAGAAGCCAAATAAAGGAACTGAAAAAGAAAGGATTGGGACAGGAATAGATGGATAACCTTCTAAAGAGAGTAGACATGTTGTCCTGGAGATAAATGGGCTCAGATTGCAGCCTTGTTGGTAGTGTGTTCATTCAGCCAGGGTCTCTGAACTCTAAGTACAGGTGCTGTGATGAGAGGTTTAGGGCAGTTTTCCAATATACTTAATCCATAGAACTCCCCAGCTTTTGCTGTCCATATTCTCAGCAGTGGGGGGCACAAACCTGGAAACTGAGAAATGCTGTCTTAGAAGATAGAAGATGTCTTAGATTCCGTGTCTGCCCTTGAGCGATTCATAAGCTATCCTTAATTCTCTAAGCCTCAGGGGTTTTGTATCTGTAAAGTACAGATAATAATAGTTTCTTTGCCAGTTTCAAGGTAAATGAGGTAAAAGGAAAATGCCCTCCGAGGCTTTTCCAGGCCTTATGTATTGATTAAAGTTTTCTATTTTAATTGTGTACATACAATTATGAGGGCTGAGCATGATTTTGAGAAAGAAAAGGAAGTGAGGGCCTCTAATCTTTTTAAAGGCATTTCCCACGTTTATTATCTGGTAAGATATAGATAAAATGGAAACTATTCCTGGCTACTTTTCCTTACTTTTTCTTTCCTTGTGCTAAACTATTTATTTCAACTTTTATAATAGATTATATTAGATTATAAATGCTTCCTTCAGCCTCCTGAGTCTTAGAATTATAGGCAGCAACATGAGCCACCACAGTCAGTTAAAAAATAAACTGATAAAGGGTCATCTATATCCAACCCAATCTCTTCCCACTGTACTAGTTCTAAAATCTAGTCCTGAATTTTGAAGGCATTTGAAGAAAAATAGCTTATCATTCCCTTTTATAATAATTTCTGTGGTTTTCCTCTTATTTCTTATGTTAAAACAGAGCCAAAAAATAAAAAAAAAAAAACTGGAGTGGAAGATTTTTCCCTTATCATGGCCCTAAGTCTTTCATGCTTTAGAATAGCTCGTTTCTGCATATGGGTTTTTAGGTGATGGCTAGTCAAGCCTGTCCTCCTTTGGCCATTTCTGCCTGGAGGCAGTCTTTCTGTGTGTGGTAGAGGCTTCCAGTCACCTGTTTCTCTGATTCCTTTAGCAGCAGCAACAGAAGAACCAGAGGTGATCCCGGACCCTGCGAAGCAGACAGACAGAGTGGTGAAAATCGCGGGCATCAGTGCTGGGATCTTGGTCTTCATCCTCCTCCTCCTGGTTGTCATAGTGATTGTGAAAAAGAGGTAAGATCCGATAATGTCCTGTACCACACACACACACACACACACACACACACACACACACACACACACACACACGTGTTTGCCACTGACGTTCACACATTTTCCCTTCAAGCTCTCTGACAAGTTCTAATAAGATTGCTTGCACCCCAGTCCCTTCTTACTTGGGATTTTTAAGTGAAGTCTTACTTAGCTTTTTGCAGTTTGTTCTGGGATATAAGTGTAGATTTTTGTTAATGTTTATCTAATGTAAAACTGTAAATTTCTTGAATTTTCAGAGATACACGAGAAATTTATCTCATTTTAAATGTTGTTATTATTAAGCATATTAAAATTGATGGTTATACGGTTCCCATGCGGTGCTTGGACCAAAGTCAGAATTATTTTCATTCTTGATCTATATTTTTTATAAATATGGGTTGCATATGAGACATGAGGAGAATAGGAACTTTGTTTAATGACATTGTATATTAAATATTCACTGACTAAATTTTTTTTAAAGAAGAGTAAATGCTTAAATTGAACCTTATCTTTTATACGATGTCAGTCAATGTCGCCACCTCCTGGAGTTCTATAAAGATCTAACTTCCTGGAATTTAAACTTGTGTTCTGGAAATGAAAGTATACTCTTGCTCAAATGCAATTAAGATATGCATTTTCTTATACTTTGAGCTATTTGACTATTATATAAGTTGTCAGAATCTTTAAGTCATCTTCTTAGAAACTAGTATGACATTGCAATCCTACCAATCACAAATTTTGGATAATTCTACAATTTGGAAGGACTTTTGGAAAAAAAAAATTACATGCAGAGTGCATTCCAACAGCTTTGTGTATAGAAGTGGTTCTGCTTGATTAATTGTACTGATTGTATAATAAATGATGTTGCTTATATTACACGAATTCTCATAGTGTCCAATTATTATTGCTTTCTACTTGAAATAAAACATTAGCATTATGAATAAGACTCATATGTTAATAACAATTCCATGAGAACCTATTTTAATATATTGCCTCTTTACAATTGTCCCCGGAGGTATATATGTTGGAGAAGACACATCTGCATTAGAAACATTAGGTATGCACTGCAGTGTTCTGTGTTCAATTAGCTACATATGTGCTTCCCCTAAACAGTGCTTTCTCTCTGCTGTCGTCTACCTCTGTGATTGAAAAACACACCCTAGGCGAGACAAGAAGATTTAAGCGTTTTGGAAACACTAGTTTTCCAATAAACATCCATGAAAATCGTGGACTAGAATCTTCAGACCTTATACCTCTGTTTAAATTAAATTTGTATTTGGAGAGTGGAAAAGCCAAATAGTTTAGAGAGCTCACTTAACACTGCTTCATCATTAAAAGGATTGTCACATCCGATTGGATGCCTGGGAATGGTTTCTGACTGAGCCCTCCTCAGAATGGAATTCAATCTTGTTGTATTTGTGGCTTATTTGAAAACTTGTTTGTTTTTGAGTCCCCTCCTCTTGGTGGATTTGTATTAAGAATGACAAGTGAACACTGAGGTCCTTCAAGTTGCTAAGCCAGTCACCGAAGCAAGGACGGGGAAAGGGGGAACGACATGCTCTGACAGCTCTCTAAAATGGCACATCGTCACTGATTCTTCGGTGTGTGTTGCCAATGATCAGAGAAATAAGCCTCCTCTAAAATGTTTCATGTTTAAGCTTCCACAATTATTTTACTGGATAGAAAGTCTCCTGACCGTTTCCTTGCCTCGGCAGCACTTGTGTGACTGGTGAAGCCCATCATCTTGCAGATGGATGAGGTTGTGTTTGCTGCCTTCAGGTGTACATCATGCCTAAATTACTTCCCCTTTTTACTCACCTCAGCACATTTGTAAGGACTTTGACTCATAGTTGGCGTATGTCACACACATATATTCTGTGTTATTTAAGCAAGAGTAGATTATTACCCTTCCATAAAAATATACAGCGGTCCTGGATATGATAGAGTTTAGCTTAATATTTGGTGTTATTCTGTAGTTTCCTTTGAATCTAGAAATTTACACTAAAAACAGTGGAAATGGAAACCCTCTTACCATCTGCATTCTCATGAGATATTGTAAAGTTTCTTTAGACTATCCCTCAGTGTGGATAATATGTGTAGGGATATTTGCCTCACTGAAAATAGTTCCATGTGCTTTGGGTTGCAAAAGAATAGCTTAGAATTCAGCCAAATAAAAATTTATGGATGAGATTATACAGAAAGTAAGTTCTTAGGCTGTGAAAGGGATATTGCAACTTTCAGAACGCAATGTCATTTTTTTTTCAGTTTGATCACTGTTGAATTATTTCCAATTATATGCCATTTTTCATTGATTGTGTATAATTTAAATGCACAGCATGAACACATTAAAACTTCCAAACATCAACTTGAAATCATGTTTCAGTACAGTAAATGTTTGTGTATATCATGTTCACATGCATCTACTGTAGGAATACCTTCATGTATATATAGTATATGGTACCTGTATTCACATAACGTGTATATACTGTGTACCATTAAGATATAGCTGATGTGTAAAAATGTAGTACTTTGCATATATTAACATCATATCTTCATGTTTTGTATTTAAAATAAACTACTATATTTAGTATACACATTCTATACACAGCTGCTCCATCTGTCATGACATTTTGATGGCAGTGGATGATACTATGCTTTAACTGCATGTTGAAAAACACACAATCCATTTAATTTTTCAGTTCCTTGGCAATATAGGAAATGTCAGCATGTTAACTTTTTTTTCCTAATTCTGTATTACAAATTTTATTTTTTGCTGCATTATCTGTCTCTTTAATCGCATGGCATAAAAACGCTAACAACGCATGGGCGAATTAAAATGCAAAGCAAAAAAAAAAACCCCACAAATTTCATTTTGTTTCGTTTTCTTTTTAACGCACATTTTTCTGCTCTATTGGATGTGACGGAGTCACGCTTCTCATTCACCATTGCTTCTCTTTTCCCACTGTCTGTGATCTGCTTGCCAGGAGGAGCTACTATTCTTACTCCTACTACCTGTAAGTAGAAAATGGGTCATTACAACTTTACATATGTCCAAGATGTAATATCCCTTTCAAAAAACCCACAGAAATGGCGTGTGTTTGGTGGTGTTTCAAAATTGATATCTTTCTGGACTCTAAAACTGTAGAACATTATCTATTTCTATACACTTTTTTAAAAGGGATATTGTGTTTCTGTATGTTCGGCTACTTTTAATTTTTAATTACAGTTTTCCGTAAGTAGCTTTAGTCTACAGCTAAGAACATCATTTATTTACTTATGTCAAGTCTGTGTTCTCTTAGCAATATGATACTTTATGCATCAGGTGACAAATGTGGTATTAACTTCCTAATCCCTAACTACATAATACTGTATTATGTTTGAGAAAATGAGCCCAGTGAGATATTTGTGCAACATTCAGACCGCCCTTGAAGGACGCAAACCAGATCAGGCCTACATGTGATAACATCGCTTTCCACCTTCCCAGGTATTCAAAAAGATCATAACAAGATGTCCTTGCTGACCATTCAAACCATTATAATGGTCCTGTCAAAATAAATTGATAAACTTGTAATGTAGTAGAGGCAGGGACATAAATAAATCTTTTGTAGAGTGGGAAAAAAGGGTTTGCTTGCTATAATTTAAATAGAGATGTTATAAAACTAAGCCAAAACAAAACCTGTCAGCATACTGAGGAACAGAGATAGCCCTTTTTTTATACTCTTCTGCAGTCTCCAACTTACCCTAGACTAAGGTCTGATGAGCTTTTTTATGTCAGCATGGAGAATACTGGCCATTCAACTTCCTGAGCCATTTTCAGGTTGTTTCTTTAGAATCAAAGATGGTTAGCCATTCGGTCCAAAGGCTATGGCACTGTCCAGGGCTCAAGGATTGGGATTGGGTTTAAGACATACAGACTGCCCTGTCTGTGTCACTGGGTAAGGTGTCAGCTAGCTTCACAGCAACATTTTAGGAGTCAATCACTTCAATACGACGCTGCCAACATTTTAAATATTACAAACATTTGGCTTCCTCCAATCTGCTGAAACAAGCAGGTGTAAAATAACAGTGCCCTTAGCTTATTGTGATGAATCATAATACGCTTGTTAAATCGTGTTTGATGAAGCCAGTGGCAATTAACTGTACCATTTCATACAATGATGGAGTGCTCTTCCCCTTTATGGCCCACCCATACATCCACCTGCAGAAGTTGATGCTGTTGGCTGCTTTGATAATGAAAGTCATTTGCGCATCTGTCAAACTCAAGTACTTGCAAAATGAATTGTTTCACTGTCCTGAAGAGCACATTATATGTGCTCATTGCTCAGGGGTAGACAAAGCATGAGACATCCTAGAATCAATATGTATTTAGTTGCAAGAATGTCAATAAACCTACCATTAGCTGTCAATGTATCTGTAAAATTCGAATAGGATTGCATTTTGGTGCACAGCTAACATCTTTCTCCTAGACAGTGTATCTGTTTATACTTTGCTGTGATTGACACTTAGAGCTACTGGCACTTTAAAGCCTAGCCAGATAAAAATGTCATAGGGATATATACTTTCAAAGGCTACTTAAAACACATAGGGATACTAATCTCAATCTCATTTCTCCTATAAAGTTAGAAATAAAGTAGAATAGAACACAAAAGAAAACCCCCCTATGATTTTTGAGCTAATTTTTAATGACATTATGTCACAGTAACTTGGTTTACATATATGAAAACACTTACTACTGATGTTAACTCATTGCCATTTCACAATACTCTGAATGAAAGCTGACCTCACAGGGTTGTTGTGGGGATTGAAGTGTAAGGGACTATCTGATTGTGGCTGACTTTGCAGCTATTCACAAAGGTTATATTCCAGCATAGTTTGCTTTTTATCTAAGTTTATGAATCAGGAAAGCCCTGGCTAGAACACTTTCCCTTTTAATTTCTTGAAAAAGCCTTTTTATTTTACCCATTCATGAAGGCCATATAAATTATTCATTCATCAATCTTTGAAGTTTAGAGTCATCATTTCCATTTGCTGTTTTCTGTATGCCCATCTTTAAAATTTAACATTATTTTTGAATCTAAATTTCACATTGTACCATTTTCGTTCAAATCAATCTCTAACATTTTTAGAGAAGCGAATCAACCCTTCAACCTTGCCCAAGAAACAAAGATTTGGAGAAAAATTGAAAGTTTTATTTGTTTGTTTTTGAGACAAGATCTTGTCTCAGTTCAGGAAGGCTTTACATGTTCCTGATTCAGCCATCTACTTCTGAGTACTGAGATGAGAGATGGGCACCACCACCCCTGGCTGGAACTTATTTGTCAAGCATTTTTCTGTTGTTTCAAAATGTGTAAATGACAGCATAGTGTGCTGTATTCATGTTCTTTTCTAATGGGCAGCAACCAGCACTTAACCATTACAGTAGGCTTCCTAACGTGGCAGTAAACACATTGTAAACAGCTGGGTATTGTGTAATAGCTTAAGCTATGGAATGAGGTCATTCTTCATTGCTTATTAGATAAGCAACCTTGGGCAAGTTATTTAACTCCCCTAAGCCTCAATGAACTCATCTATATGATGAGAATCCTTAAGCAGTTTTCAGTGGATTGAGCTGAGAATTAATTGAGTTAACCAATAGAAAGTGCCAAGTATATAACAGGCCCAATTTATCTCTTCCACAAGCATTTATTGAGTGCCTGCTTTGTGCTCTAAGTATTCTGGCACTGTTCCGATGCCCAGAATCTGCAGGTGATCTTTCCCTTTATTGAGCACACTGTGGGGAAATGACTGAAAAAATCCTGTGATGATACGTGACGAGTGTTGTTTCAAGAGATGAACATGTTACTATAAAAATCACTTGAATCAGATGACACTTGGATTACCTCTATTGAGCCTTTCCAAGGAAGTTTATTTGGAGTCACAATGAGCAAAAACTAGCCAGGTTTTAGAGACTAAACTTTGCAGGCCTAAGGACAAAAATATTTCATGATGGCTAACTAGCAGGGAGTTTAGAATGTGTAAGTCTGTTGGCTACATACAGCCTGGTGGTGTTTAATTGGGGTCAAGCATTGTTTTTAAAAAATAAAATCATGGCTGGGCAGTGGTTGTGCAAGCCTTTAATCCCAGCATTTAGCAGGTGGATCTCTGTGAGTTTGAGGATAGCCTGACTTACAGAGCAAGTTCCAGGACAGCCAGGGTTACACAGAGAAACCCTATCTTAACCCTTCCCAAATAAATAAATAAATAAATAGAGCATTCGATTGTGCTACTCTTTCTATTTTCCTTATGTCCATTTAACTATAAAAAGGGGTATCATTGCTTCCAAAGTCAAATAAGTTGTTCAAGTTTGGAAAAATAAAATCAGGGGCCAGAGGGATAGCTCAGCAATTAAGAGCACAGACTGCTCTTACAGAGGACTTAAGTTTAGTTTACAACACCCATATCAGGCACCTCACAAATGTGCCTGTAACCCCAGCTCTAGAGGCATCTGATGCCCCTGGCCTCTACAGCGAACTGTGCTCATGTAGGTACACACACAGAGAGAGAGAGAGAGAGAGAGAGAGAGAGAGAGAGAGAGAGAGAGAGAGAGAGAGAGAGCACTTTAATTCAATAAAAACACCTGAAAATAATAAAGAAAACTAAACTACCCATTCTGAGACATTGCTGTTATTTTTAAAAATTAAAGTCATTTTCAACATTTGGACCAAGTGCTAGGAATCATTAGGACAAGTTGCCCCTAAGCAGTCCCCTCTTTCCTCAGTCATCACCTCCCTGCATGGTGTCTCATATCTCACCTATATTTATACTCTCTGTCTAGATCTTTATGTTTCTACAGACTTTACCCTCTGGCCAGGAAGGAACAGTTGGTAGTACTTTAAGTGTATGCAGCAAGTGTTGTCAATAAGTAATAGTGGTAATGGTAGTGATGGGGTAGGGATAGTTCTGGTGGTACTTTTACTGGTGGTGGTAGATAATAATCCTTTGTCCTTGTTAATATATTAACATTACTAATACTTACTATTCCTTCTAAATGAATGAGGGGTGTCCATCAGCAAATCATAGTTTGTGACTGCTTTATTCAGTTGTGAGTGAGATCTAGTGTTTATGTTCTATGTGTTGGTTGTATGCCCCTGTGGTCAGCTACTGCAATTCTCAGAGAAAAATAAACCAGAATGACTCTCAGGTTGCTCAATGAATGTTAAAAGGAAGAGCCTGTGGACATAAACTCCATCTATTCAATGAGCCTTTGTAGTATTTGTGGTATGTTTAATATAGATAGTGATGGGGGATCAGAAGAGAATGTCTTGCCATTGATTGAAGAAATGGCATTCTTAACAACTGGAGAGTATTTCCAAGTATTAATTGCTACCATTAAATGAGTAATAAGTCTACACTGGACAGTGGTTTAAGGTTCCTCTGTGTATAAATTTCCTGGTGAATATGAGTTAAATATTTTATATGCATTTTAGGTGCATGTTTCATGGATAACAGAGAAACAAAAGAAGTATGTTTTTGATGTGTGAGATAAAGGGATCAGTATTTGTGTAGTTTGAAATGTTCTCGCTAACTTTTATAACCATAAATCATTCTCCTGCTATATATATCAGACATTTCTGTAGTGGATAGTATGCATGAGAAGTCTAAAATACATTTTAGGGTTTGACCATGTCAATCCTCCAAGATAACAATAATTGACATTGGATCTTTGCATAGCATTTTTCAAATTTTCCCCAGTTCCTTTCTTACACAGCATATGATTCAGTTCAATCTCTTTATAGGTGTTTGAGTCATAGCAGGCCAGGGTTGATTTGAAAAGACTTTGGATTGGTTTTGATTAGTGCTATAAATGCACTATTCAGTGTGTCCATGCTCTGTATGTTTGTGTATTTTCTTAGGAACAGCAGAGAGGAGAATGGGCCTTTTCCTTGTTTCCTTTGGCTGGCTCTGCTAAAGCAAAGTTAGGTCATGTTGTTAGCAAGACCTTCAAGAAGTTGATCAAAGGCAGTCATCACTCAGGAGGAAGACTAGAACTTAAATTTTTAAAGTTTTTACTTAAATCATCTGTGAATTAGCTCTACTTTAGACGTGTTTGTTTATACTCTTGAAGAAATATTTTCATGGAAATGATTTATTTTTTGACAATTTTATACATAGATACAATGTACTATGATTATATCCACCCTCCGATACCCTCATTTTACTCTGCTTTTTCCCTCTGGACCCAGACCTAATAGAAGAAATGGTGAGACTCTTGGTTTGGCGATTTGCATGTTAAGAATTTCCCAAATAAGGTCGTGCTACAACCACCAGCCCATGGAATGGTTTGTGTGTTGTCTGGACTCTCGAAATTAGGAACAGTTTTTAGGTTTTCTAATACATGTCTGTAACCTTGTCCTCGGGCTCACTTGAGCTTCTTTATGGCTGGCGTCAGCTGTCCCTCAAGGCTTGCCACACTCAGGGCTCCCTTTTGTATTTGCTTTGGCAGCAAGCTTGCTAAAAAGCGCAAGGATGCAATGGGAAACACACGGCAGGAGATGACGCACATGGTGAACGCTATGGACCGGAGTTACGCCGATCAGAGCACCCTGCACGCAGAGGATCCGCTGTCCCTCACCTTCATGGACCAGCATAACTTCAGTCCGAGATGTAAGTTAGTCATTGAAATTTGACTTAATGCTTTGGGGGGCTTACTAAGTGCACTTAATTTCCCACAATAACTTTTGAATAACGAAGGAAAAAGCCAGAGGACAAAAGAGCTTAAAAAAAAAAAGAGTAAAATGGAATTTACAAAAAAAAAAAAAAAATGCTTGTTCAGTTTGGTACAGGATTTAGTTTAACTTTGAACTAGGGATTTTATTATGAAATCATAAGAAGTAATCCAAACGAGCCGGGCGGTGGTGGCGCACGCCTTTAATCCCAGCACTCGGGAGGCAGAGCCAGGCGGATCTCTGTGAGTTCGAGGCCAGTCTGGGCTACCAAGTGAGTTCCAGGACAGGCGCCAAGCTACACAGAGAAACCCTGTCTCGAAAAACCAAAAAAAAAAAAAAAAAAAAAAAAAAAAGAAGTAATCCAAACGTAAGACATTCAGGCAGCATGTGTCATTGAATTAAGCTCAAAATGGCATTTTCTGCATTAAATTGGTGTTTGTCAATTTACTCATTTATCTTTTCCTTGGTAGAAGATAAATGTTCTTTAAAGAGAAGAAGAAACATCGTAATTCTTTCTGGGAATTAGTGGCCTAACTAGTTGTTCCATTAAGGTAATCTAGTATTAGTCCTGAGTAATTCCAGTACTAAAAAGTTAACTAGAGATGGGGAGGTAAGTTAATAGATAAAGCATTTACTGGACAAACGTGAAAACCGGAGTTCAGATCCCCAGAACCCACATAAAAGCCAGGCAGGGGTGGCAGCCATCCGTAATCCTAGCATTTGGGAGGCACAGACGGGGTGGGGAAATGGAGGGGTGTCCCGGGGCAAGCTGGCTAGCTAGAATAGCTGGACTTGGTGAGCTTCAGGTTTACTGAGACAACCTATCTCAGTGCATTCATTGGAGTGAGACTGAAGAAGCCATATAACATCAACTTCTTGGGACCCACACACACATGGCCTTACACATGGCAACATGCATACACTCACACATACCATACACACAAGAAAAAAAAATTACTACGTGAAAGATTGGTCCATTAAGTTTCTAAGTATCGAGTATAAAATCTAAAGGTGGACTTGTGTTGACTGGCTTGCAAAGAATAATGAAATTGCATCCCCATTCATCTCTTCATTCTCCCATATATAGATTCTTCCAATATTGCTAACGCTGATCTGTTGAAGAAAGTGCTTTTAAAACGTTTGCATTGATGTCCTGCTTAAACACAGGGGGATTTGAATAATTGCATAGTTTGAATATCCTATGAAAATTATTCCCTTTCAAGGTTTTGTCTTTATTTAAATTAGTTCAATTTGCGTTAACATGCCTAGCTCATTTCTTCAAATCTTCAAGTAAAATTGAGATGGACAAATCAAGTTTGTCATTAGCATTTCGTATGCAAGGCAGCTCTGTAACACTTAACCTGATTTGGTAAACATGGGTGTAAGAAGACAAGAAGTAAATAATAGAATTCATATTTCTATGCAAATTATAGACATAGGAAATTGTAAGGTTGCACAATATTTTAGACTCTGTGTCTTTATGTCATTTCATAAAGGGAATATTCTTTTGGAAACCTTTAACTTGGTGAAAATTTTCAGTAATTGTCAGACTTGAATATAGGTTGTCATTTTCCTTGTGTATGTTCACAATGAGTGGAAGTTAGAAGTACTATGTTAGTCATTTTGAAAATCAGTTTTAATCATGATAGGGCCTTTCTGGCCCGTCTTATTTTTATTTCACTATTAAAATTTAACAACAGAGAAGGACATAGAATTCTAAGATTGTTGAAAGAAAGTTTGTTCACAATATGAATGTATCATCTCTACCAGTACTTGGTTTGTTCAATGTTTACTTGATTATAGGTCTGAATGTATTCTTGTGTGTTGGCCTTGTCAGTACCTACCTATAAAGTGATGATTCTGAAAGTGTATCCATGGCTATCTACTTATGAACTTAGAGAAAGGATTAACTACTCCCCACAGTTAACTGGAGAAAAAAATGACAGAATAAATATAAGATCATTATTTCTCTAAATACCTTACACTTGGTACATCTAAAATGCATGGTTCCTTTTCTCCTAATTTTATCGTCTTTATAATGTCAAAGTGAATAATCTGGCTTTTTAAAATGAACAGAGAACTGGATTATAATTACAGAAACAACTCTCTTGACATTCTACAATAACCCTGCTGGAAAAAATAACTTTTACCTTTGCAAAATACAGAAACCCAAGCAAGTTGGGTCACTATATTTTTTTTAAGAGAAAATCGATTATAAAGATTATTTTAGAAAAATAGAATTTACAGGCAAGCGTTGCTTCACGGCGTTTGTTTTCCCACAGTGCCCAATGATCCGCTTGTACCGACTGCTGTGTTAGGTGAGGCCCGAAACCTTTATCACCAGTTTTTATTTGATTTTATTGTTTTGCATGCATCACAACTCCTTGCATGGGTTGTATCTTGTCCACATAGTAACTATTTGTTTTGGGGAAGTACCTTGATGTTTCAGATAGATCACCATAATCCAAACAGAGATAGCGGCCTTTGTTCAAGACATTTGGGTCTGGCGGATGTAAATGGAAGGCACACTGTTTAGAACAACATACCAGCTTTAGGTTGTGTTGGATTTGGAGCAGAGATGCAATTACCCCCCTAATGGATGACTAATGTGAAATGAACCCCAACACCTCCCTTCTCAGGGGCCAGGAGTGACTGAGCAACTTGCTGATGCGGGAAAGTCAGCTTTAGCAAAGGGATTATCTGAGTCCTTCTAACTTTAAAGCAACTAAAGATGTAGTCATAGGTGAACAGGGTGACTCTGTTCATTTGCTTTTACTTTGTTTTTTTAAATAGTTTGCTAGAATCTTGATGCAGGGCCTTGGCATAGAGACAACATTATGTGATAAATACTATTGTGCGTCAAGAACTTAGAAGAAACCACTGCGTTTACCTGAGTCACATCTGAGGAAATGGGTGTCACCTGTGATGATTCTGGCCTTTTCAGTTGTAAAACAGCATTAGTTGTTAAACCTATATATTTCAAAACAAAATGAGTTTAATTTCAAATTGCTTCTTTTTTTTTTTTTGTTTTTTTTTTTGTTGTTGTTTTTCGAGACAGGGTTTCTCTGTGTAGCTTTGCGCCTTTCCTGGAACTCGCTTTGGAGACCAGGCTGGCCTCGAACTCACAGAGATCCGCCTGGCTCTGCCTCCCAAGTGCTGGGATTAAAGGCGTGCGCCACCACCGCCCGGCTCAAATTGCTTCTTATTTCTTGACAAATTATTCAACAAGCATTTGGCCAGCGTGAATTATACGTTCACAGGTTCTCTGTCAGTAACACCCTTGTGGTTCTACTCACCCAAGAAAATACAGATTTTCAATAAATATATCTTTGAAATTACCCAACACCATATTTATTATTCATTTTTAATACTTATTGTGAATAGGGAAATTTAGCTTATGCATCTCTTCGCTATGTAGTTATTTGATTTAAAAGTAAATTACACAATATTTTGGAATTTTACAACTAATCAGTTAAGTAAAATGTACCTCATGCTGAAATACTAAAATTATTTCGATTTATAACTTTAGAGCTTATGTAAATAATAAGTGTTCCAATAGAATCTGTATCCTGACTGCACTCTCCCTGTGATGTGCACAACAGCCATGAGACAGAGGTGAACTAAGGCATTTGTCATAACAAGTGACATGGTTATGTAGGGAGGAGCCATACAGGGTAATCACAGGGGAAGTATCAAATTATCAAATGCCTCTGCATATGTCACCTTCTGTTGAGAACTGTAGAGTAGTATCAGTAGCTCACATTAATAAGTAGAGTCCACTTCAATTAAAACAGTAGCACTCTGAAAAGGAATGGTTTGCCTAGATGTTAAGTCCGTCATAGAAATTTTCTAAGGGCACGTAGGATCCAGTCCAAATCTCAAGGTCTAGATAGAATTACAATATGAATTCAGAAAACTACCTTACAGGTTTTCTCCTCTCTCTCTGAAAATTGTAACAATTCCCGCCATGCTCTTCCCCCACAGAACTGTAAAGAGAAAATGAGAAAATATGTGTGAGGTTTACAAACTGTAAGGACTAAGCAATTCCTAAAATATTCCAAATGAAAGGGAGTGGTTGCATTTCAGGAAAGGTAGAGCTAGCCCAGTAGTCTCATCTGACCTATTTGTATACATTTTCATCGTGTAATTTATTTCATTTTGAAAGTGGGCATGATCGGCTTCAAAATCATTGGCTTTCTTTGAAGGCTGACTCTCATTAATCCCATTAGACGTCAGATTAATCTGTTCCATTTTCATTGTTCTTAGAATTGTGATGTTTATGGTGGTTTTTAATTGATTCACTTTTATACAGCAACTTTCTGAAATAATTTCAAACATTGCTTCATATTTATATCTACCTGGTGATTTTGAAAGGCTTGGAAATTTTTCATATTGACTCATATTTTTGTCTTTTGTGTTTTACTGCTTCATTGGGCTTAAGTCCCTATAACCGGTAAGTATATTACAAAGAACTCTAGAAACCTTTCAATCAAGACATAGTTGATGTTGTTATTCTTCAATGTATAATAAGGATAATGATAAGCACAGGCACCCTTGCTAGTACTCACATTATTAGGTAGTTTAATGAAGTAGAAATGTATTGAGATTAATAATTCATATGTGATCATTCTTGAGACCTTACTGCCTTTTGTACTACTATATTAAAGTCTAATGCCACACAAAGGCAATGCTATTTGATGCTGGGATATACTCATTTGTAAGATGTGCAATGTGAGTAAAGTCTGTGTTTCTGAGCCTCTAAAAATTGTAAAACTGCTGTTGCAGCACGTTCAAAATGAGCTCTGTCTAGGGTTGCCCTGGCTACCTTACCCCAGCCAAGGTGCTTACACTCTGCCTTCCCCACGTTGTCTGTTCCATTAAACTCTCCCCTTCGATTGTATATCCTATGATAGAGCCTAAACCAGTTGCTTCTGAATTTATTCTTACTGGGAGATGTTTACATTCCTTATACCTGTCTATTGATTGTAATATTTTAATGAAGGTAGACCAGTTGACTGCAGGCTCACAGGACGCGGGAGGGAATTCAACTGGATCATACTTGCTAGCAAATGTTTGTATGTAGAGGGGTGGGCAAAACCTGAATAAAAGGCAGTGATTCTCTTGAGTGGTTAGGTCATAACGGACTCCAAGGGCTTTCTTTTGTTGTTGTTAGTTTTTTTTTTTTCTTTTGCTTTAGTATGTGGTATTTTTAGACATGAATGCCAAAAAAATTCAGTTTAATAAGAGAGGGTAAAGATAAATGCAATCAAGCTAAATTATAGAGGCATACAAATCTGATTGTAGGGTTCTTTTTTTTTTTCCTTCTCCAGGAAGAAAAAGTGTTTATCATGGGGACAACAATTCATTTTTTGCCATATCCTATTTGTAGAGTTGGCGATAGAGCAGGCAGATGTACCAGCACTTGAAATATGTTTCACTGTTAATTAAATATCATTCTCTACAGTATGCATTATCATTTCAAACGCAAGTTCCTCTAAGAGTGTACTTTCCTTTCTGTTAATGAGTGTGACAGTATTATGCTTTTCAAAGTAACACCCCTTCAACGTTTGGGTTTTTTTTTTTAAGTGGTAAGTTTAAATGTGATAAATATAAGCATGTTTCTCATTGTAATGTTTAGTTCTTTGGTCATTAAAATGCTGTTTATTCTTCATAGGCAAGACGTTCTTGGTTCTTTTTTCATCTTTATGGCAGAAAGAGCATTAAAAGTCTCTTTCCATTTTGAACTAAAACCATGGGGATGTGGTCTACACTTAAATGTGGGTGGTGAAGGCTTCTGTTGAATTTTAACTAATTCACTCATTGAAATATTTACCGAATTTCTGGTACATGAGTCTATCTCCAAAAATACCAGATAAATAAATAAATGGTTACAAAACAGGGCAAAGAAAGTAGCATGCAAGGAATCTGGAGGTCTCAGAAACATAAGAAGTAGCCTGATACTGCAGCATGGAGGGCCTGGGAAGACAAGGGAGGTGTCCACATTAATCTCCAGTAGCCCCGGTTTCTCTCACATGGCTGACAGAGAAGTCAAAGTGTGGCAATTAAAACAATACTAATAGTAACAAGAATCCAAGGGGGGAAATAGGTAAAGCCTCCTAGTGGACAGAATGGGTGGAGATGGGATTCTGTGCAAGTGTGTCCAGGTGGTGCCTGTATTGGGGAGCCCAGCTAGTAGAGCAAAGAAGAGGAAAGGTGGCAAGATGAACGGCCCTGTGGGCATGGGTTGTCTAAAGGGGTCTCTGAGGGAGGTTGGAATATGAGTGTGAAAGAGATCATCCAACACAGTCAATGGTGAAAACGTTTTTCCAGTTGACAGCTCAGTCCTCTGGCCCCAGCCTAGACCGCTGTTAACTTCAAATGCTCAAAACAGAGGTGACTCAACTAAACATCCTGCCTGCACTTTTTAAAAGGGAATCCAGTGTCTCCCTGATTCTCCCAGCATCCGCTGTCTTGCTGAAAGGCACATATGTTCTGACCTTAACCCTTAAGCCGAAATGAAAGGTGAAGGCTTTGTCTTTATGAGGATGCTGCTGGAGGCCCCACCCCCACCCCCACCCCCTTGTCTGGCTTTTCGTTTCCTTCCTTCTACTACCAGAAAGCTCTTAAAGGTCTTCAAGTCTTCTTTGCACAGATGTATATTAAACAAGGTAACTTTATCTCTTTCTTACTGTTCTGGAATATGAAATCTGCCAGATGAAAACCACAGTGCCACAGCAGAGTCTAGTCGCCTTCTGGATGTTCCTCGCTACCTCTGCGAAGGGACAGAGTCCCCTTACCAGACAGGACAACTGCACCCAGCCATCAGAGTGGCCGACTTACTGCAGCACATTAACCTCATGAAGACATCAGACAGCTATGGGTTCAAAGAGGAATACGAGGTGAAAGCTTTAGTACTGTGTTGAATTTTATTTGTAACTGGATACTCAATGCAATGTGGTGTTTTTTCTTCCTTTTGACATTTCAAGAGTGGGTTACTCTACAACCTCTCTAGTCCAGCATTGAGCATGCCATCAAATGTATGTATGGAGAGGGGGTGAAATGAAAGAAAAGAGCACACCCCCGGACTGTATTTGGGGCTATGTTCATTGAAAGATTCTTGAGGGTGGGTTCAGTCATGTTTCAGTGAGTTATCACAAACACTTTGCTAGATCTTTCTACATCTCGACCATCAAAAATTACGCACAGGATTTTCAGAGTCCCCTTGTAGTGTTAGGAATGCGATCACTGGTTGGCTTAAATTCCAAGTGTTTCTGTCTCCTTGCTTACAAATGCTTTAATGATAAAGATGATGTTACGTTAAATAAGCTGCTTGCCAGCTGATTCCCTTAATTTTGTAGACTGTTGGCTGAGGGCGGCAAGCAAGAAAAACTGAGCACCACAAACCAAGTAAACAACAGCATCTCAACGACAAAATCAGATGTAGGAAATTTCTTCTCCCAGCATATTTCTCTTTCCCACTCAGATCAAAATATCAGGATTTACCTTAGAAAAGAAGTAACTTAAATCAAACATTCTAATAAACAGCAGAAAGAAAAAGTTCCCTTTACCTTTTCACATGCTTTGAAATTTCAGCATGGGCACTGAAGCTAATTTATACTCCTGCACACAGCATAGTATGTGCACACACAGAAACACACACACACACACACACACACACACACACACACATACACACACACACACACACACACACACACACACACACACACACACACGCACGCACAGTGGAAGATGCCAAACATATTTCATTTCAAAGAACAACCAAAATACATTCAACTTCCTGGGAAGACTTTTAAGTTTTACATTCTATATGCGGACCACTTGTATACCTTATTTGGGCTGAGAAAAATTATCTTGAAATGCTGAATGTTGGCTTTAGATATGTACTGAGACACCCAAAATAAGAGCAAGGAATTAGAATATCCTGCCAGAGCTGGTTCTGCTTGTTCATTTCATGTATGTTCCTGTGTACTCTGTTTCAAAGAGCATTGGCTCTTTGAAGACCCTATTTCCTGTGTTGAGCAAAGTTTAAGTTTTTCTACAAGAAAAGAGATCTCTACCCATGTTTTAAATTTCTGTATGATTAAGCCACCATTGAACCCATCTGTCTGTAGGTGCTTGGAGAGCAGGGATCTTTATAAGTCTGTCCCCTGAAGGAAAGACCCAGTCTTCATGACCTTCAAAGGGAAAAAAGAGGACAGATCGTACATGAGTAAAGAATTATGGGAGCAAAGTGATTTTGTTTTCTTGTTATAAGTGCTGATGAGAACACATTTGAAAGGATAGCCATCAGTAAAAGTAGTTTTGCAAGTTTGGGTGTATTGTTATTTAGAATGTTTTGAAAAAGGATGAAGCTGCTTCTACTTGTAACTCACAAAATGATAGCTATCTTAAAATTGAAAGATTTTCAAGATTCTGTTTCTCTAAAGTTGTTGCCAGTCTTTCACATAAGTTCCACCAGCCTACCATGAACAAACTTACATCCCCCAAACCAGGCTTGAGGACCGAGAAGGAAATGTACTTACTACTGTAGGCAGCCCAGCCCACCACCACCACCAATGTGGCTTTTACTGTTTTTAATTTTAGAGCAGATAAACCTGTTGTGAAAAACAGAATTAAATTAAGTCTGCTTGTTAACTTTTTTTTCCCGCAGAGCTTCTTTGAAGGTCAATCAGCATCTTGGGATGTAGCTAAAAAAGATCAAAACAGAGCAAAAAACCGATATGGAAACATTATCGCATGTAAGTTCCCTCAGAACTCTTGATGTGTGTAAACATTACATGTATGGAGATGAACAGTGAGTTGCAACTTTTATGGTTTTGAATTTAGAGAATCCTAGGGGGTGGTGTGTAAGTTCCCTCAGGACTCTTGATATGTGTAAACATTACATGTATAAAGATGTACAGTGAGTTGCAACTTTTATGGTTTTGAATTTAGAGAATCCAAGGGGGGGGACATGCTTCTCTGTTAAGTGATCTATGGAATATTAAAAACAATGTTAGCTTACTGAAATTGCCATCATCCTCACTCTCCACCCTGTGAGAAACTTGCTGTTTGAAGTTTGTTATGTAAATCCATGGGGGTTTGTTACCAAATGTCTAAGAATATTGGGATAGTGCCAAACTTTTTTTCACTTATGAATTGGCGGATTAGAGACAAGGTTGCTGAGGTGTTTGTTCCACATGCCCTTACACCTTACCTGAAGGCAATAGCTGAAGTACGGTTACTGCAAGTCATTAGTTACTCAGAATTTCCATTCAGATGATGTCTTCATGAGGAGTACATGCAAAAAGCCAAGTCATCATCACCAGGGGCAACCTTGGGAGTACTGAGGAGAGCAGATGGTCTGACCTGTAATTACCTGCCGATTTCCTTCAGCCAGTCTGCACTGAGTTGAAATCATTTTAAACTATCTAAAATACATTAAAATCTAACCTGTCTCTCAAGGGAGGAAGGAAGAACAGGTTCAAAATTTACAGTTCTGTGGCTCAGTCTTCTGTAAAATCCAGAAGAAAGGGAACTCCCCCAGCTAAAAACATTCCTGAGAAACAAAATTAGAAGCCACGCAAGTTCCATAGTCAAGTCTGACCCCTTCAGACACTGTCATTCTGCCTATAAACTTCCTAATCTGAAAGACAAGCCATTGAGTCCATGTTCATAGTTGTAACTTGAATAAGTAGTGAGCTCCATATAGTTCTGCCAGTTCTCACAAATGACTGATTTGATAATAATGCAGAGTGTTGCGAGTGTAGATATATAAAGACCAAATTCGTCCTTGAGCCTTTACCCCTGACATTGTCTCAAAATAGACGAACTGGAATAGCTTGCATTTGATTATTTGAACCTTTCAGATGATCACTCCAGAGTCATTCTACAACCCGTGGAGGATGATCCTTCTTCAGATTACATTAACGCCAACTACATCGATGTAAGTGTCCTTCCAGGGCATTTCCATCGTATGCCCACGGTATCAGCTCCCACCTGTGAACTCGATGCTTGTTATTGCCTATGACTTGATTGCTAGCTTTAAAGTAAAGAACCAACTGTACACTTTTCCTTGTTCTACATCCTAGTACTTACTGACGCTGTTGTGCTTTCTTTCTCACCTGACTTTGGTTTGGGCTGTAGATTTGGCTGTACAGGGATGTAAGTACCACTATATGTACATAACAGCACCCTATGATAAATATTTAATATAAATACCCTTAATCACAGTGACTACTAATGCTTAGTCTAGTTGTTTCTGCATGCATCTCCTAATTAGTCTCATACAGTATATTTGTGTTCCTTTTTATTTTTTGTAATTATTTTACGTGTGTAAAGAACTATTTGACCTTCCCTTTTCCTGTGTAGCAAAACAGGGCTATTTTTGGCTTCAACAGTTTATTATGCATTTGAATTTTCTTTGTTGATGATTTCTGTCTCTGGCTTTTATTCTTACCCTCCCCAAGCATATGTGAGACGCTGGATAGTATGATGTGTATTAGTGGTTTTTTTGAAATTTCATTTTTTATATTGACTTTTGATATTAAAAGATAAGAATGGGGCCAGGGATGTGACTCAGTTGGTAAAAATGCTTGTTGAGCATGCAGTCAATCCCAAATACTGCATAAACCAGGTGTGGTGGCTCATGCCTGGAATTCCAGCCCTTGGGAGGTGGAGGCGGGAGGATCAGGAGTACACAGGCATCCTGAAGTACATAGCAAATTCAAGGCCAGCTTGGGCTAAATAAGACCCTATCTCAAAAACATAAAGAAATACAGTAGTAGGAAGACTATTTTGTGGTGTATGATATTGGTTTGTAAAGTAATAAAATTCTTAGGGCAAAAATGATTTCTGTATTATATTTGAAACATATATATCACACATATATATATATGTATATGTATATCGAATCATACCACCAAAGTCTGTTTTCATTACATATTGCACTGTTAAATTTTGGTTATACATATGAACAGGGAAATTATTTAAGGGAAAGTAATTATCAAACAAAATAAAAAATATGGCTAAGAAGCACCAAATTACCTTGTATGTAAGGTCTGGCTCTTTGGCTCTATTACCTGGTTTAAAATTATACTAGAGGGTCTAGAGAGATGGATGCATTGGCACTTAAGAACACTTGTTATTGCAGATAACCCAGCTGTGGTTCCCAGCAACCACAAGGAGTTCACAACTGTCCATGACTCCAGGTCTAGGGTATCTTATACCTTCTTCGGGATTCCTTGAAAACCAAGCACTCATGTGGTACACATGCATTCATTCAGGCAAACACTCACATAAATGAAACAACATAAACATGAATAATAAATCACCCTGGAGATCTTGGGAAGGCTATTTGCCTCTCTGTGTTTCACTTTTCTCGTCTGCACACTGAGATCCTGATAGTTTTAGGCCCATCAATTTGTTTGAAAATGTAATGGAGTAATGCATGTAGAACATCTAGTACAGTGACTAACATGTGTCTAGCACTTGCCAGATTTCAGCTATTCATAATTAAGAACCCAAGTTCTGAATGAATTGAATCACAGCATGCATATTTTTAAGTCAAAGTGTAATAGAGTATTACAGCATATACCATCAGTGTTCATATAGAGATGCCGTATAAAACCCCACCTCTTCTAAATACTGCAAATAGGATATTTGTCACACTTGTGAACTTCATCTTTTATAGTTATTTTGATATTTATAACTAATTAATGTATTAAGAATAGTATATAAGTTTATTTTTTAATTTTTCATCATAATTTTATTTTCATAAAGCTTTTAAGTGTTGTCCGACTTTTAGTCATGGGAAACTAAAAAAGACATCAGAATTTCTCTTACAACTTTGTAACTATTCTTAGCTATTTAGTTTAACCTGGGTTTTCTGCCATGACAGATATACACTGGAGCCTTAATATAATACTATTATATGAACTTTATTCTAAATAAGACTTGTTATACAACTCTGTTAAGATCCCAGAATATTTTAGCTAAATACAATACAATCTTATAATTTCCTTTTCTTGTTTGTATACTTTATACAAAATACACTGGCAGTTGGTGGATCTCATTTAAAACAGAGCATGAAATGCTTATGAAACTTTGAAACCCATTTCCATGAAACATTATGCTGTATTGGCTTACTAAGAAATTAAAATCAGCTGGGTGTGATGATGCAAGCCTTTAATCCCAGCACCTAGTAGTCTGAGACAGGTGGATTTTTGTGAGTTTGAGGCTAGCCTGCTATATAGCAAGTTCTGGGCCAGCCAGGGTTAGTGAGAACCTGTCTCAAAAATAATAATAATAATTTTAATTTTCAGTATTTACAACACTATGATGCACACTGTATTCCATCTTAGGTCAGAGACTCCCTTCCACATTCCACATGCACTGTGTATGTACTGAGCTGCCCATACCAAATATGGACACATCTTAACAGATTCTTCCTAAATCCTTTGGTAAAAGCAAACAAATTTACAACTTAACCTTCTCATGCCATCAATCTTTTTTCAACACATCTGTGGCAAGCTGACCCATTGAGAGCAACTAGCAAACAAATCGTTCTTTACCAGGAAGAATTCACTGAAACAATATTAGGTGTTTATGCACAGAGTGTGTGCACTGAAAAGTAAGCCCTGAAATCTTTGTTCAAGAAAAAGCGCAGTTTTAAAAACTTTCTTCCCTATATATGTGTGTGTGTACTTAAGTTATGTGTGTGTAAATTGCATTATCAGCACACACAAAATAGTGCCTACGGATTCCTGAACATGTTACAGAAGAGAAATAGTACCAAAAAGAATAAGAATTAATTTTGGCAGGACTTTGATTTGAGCACACATGCATTGTCCAGCTCTAACATTGGAATGTTCTGTTTCTTTTCTTTTCTTTCTTTTTTTTTTTCTGGTTCTAATATGTCCTTGTCCATTTGTAATGCGGTGTGTGTTGTACTTTTGGATGCTACAATAAGAATTGATGTTTTTGAAGAGAATCTTCCCAGGAATGAGTGATTTAAAATTTACATGAAGGCATAAACATTTTAGTGAAACTGAACTCAATCTCTTAGGTTATTCTGCAACAAACAAAATTCAATTATATGATTTAAATTCTAATCAGAGCCTTTAATATAATTAAGCTTTGTCTTCTGTTCCCTTTTACATAACGTAGGTTTGAGAAGTGGACTCTGTTCACTACTCAGTCTGGTCTTTTTTATTACAATCTGATCTTGGGAAGTGGTTATCTTCCCCTTTTTATGCCTTCATTTATTTATTTCAGATACCTATGTAAAATGATAACCAATTTGCTTCCCTACTTTAGGGCTACCAGAGACCAAGCCACTACATTGCAACTCAAGGTAAAACTTTGCCTTTTGAATACTATATTTATACTTACTTATATTAAATGTTATGTGTAACTTTATTATTATCCAGTAGGAAATTTTATTTTGTAGTTTTATCTTTAAAAAAAAAATCATTTGACTCTTCCTAATTTGTTTCGTGTAAATACTTTTCCAGAACTTAGAAAAACTTAATCTTGATTCTTTTTTGAATTATAATCCTGATTGTTTCTGGGATTCGAACTTTGATGATCAAATATCCCAATGCACTGGTCAATAGTGTTGGGAAGAGGAACTACTTATATTTGATGAACATGAAGTGAGTACTCTCCCTGCCTTGGGTGACTGACATCTTGCAGCCAACTTTGTCAGCAATAAGACACAAGACCAAAAGTTATGATGAGATATACTGTCATCTGGCAATTTTTGACAAATCAAGACTGAAACAAAACATAGACCTAAGGGAATGTAGTAAAGTCTATTCTTTATGGAAAATCAAAACAAACTAGGTTGATTGGATCATGGTGCACCAGGAAATGAAAGTATCTAAACAAGCAAACAAATTTGTAATCTTTTCAAAATGTCCCCTACCCATCCAGAGAGGAGCATGCATGACAAAAAACGTTTTCTGTTTTACCTGGTTTTTATTGTGTTTTTCTTTGCTTTGCTATTCTCTTCCTTCTGCGCTGTGGACAGAACCCAGGGCCTTGTGCCTGATAGGCAAATGCTACCAGGGAGTTAACTCTGTCTCCTGACGTTTGCTCTTTTAGCAGAGGTCAATTTGTCTGGATTTTCCCTTTTGTTTTAGTAATTGAGTTTAATTGAATATTCTTTATAGTTAGAAATATGCACTTTGTGTGGAACCATACACCAGTTTTGTGGTTCTGAGTGACTGATAGCCCGGCACATGCCTTTACAGTTAGATAATCATGTAGAATAATAATAACAATAATAATAATAATAATAATAAGATACAAGGATATGTCATTTACTTTAACTCATGCACTATTCATAAATGATGGACATTTATTTAATTGGCAATGTCTGCTGCTCCTCTGACAAGTCTCCAGAGAATTCTGTTTCCACATATATGTACAGGTACAAAGGAGTGCCATAGTGACAGTAATGAACACCTTAGAAAGTAGTGGTACCTTCCTACAGATTGCTAAGTATAAGAGACAAATTGAAGAAAAAAATCTATACATGCCTTTGATGTTTCGCGTAGTATATATTCCGATATGAACTGAAATTAAGTGGTTCTAGTGGTAATCTGAATTAGACATTTATCTTTTTTAGCTTATCTCATGTACACTACCTTTTATGTTGTCTAAACTTTTTATTAACTATAACATGTCTCTGATAACACAATATGAAAAATCATTTCTTTATAGGCCCGGTTCATGAGACCGTGTATGACTTCTGGAGGATGGTGTGGCAAGAACAGTCTGCCTGTGTCGTGATGGTAACTAATTTAGTGGAGGTTGGCCGGGTAAGAAAAAACTATATTTATTATTTTTTTACATATATGAATATTCTTGAAAAGCAATAATCAACTCACTTAGAGAATATCATCCACTAGTTTAAGAATATTTCATACGACAGTCCACACCCATCTGAAGAACAGATTGGTGACTACCCCAATTGGTGAAAGAGAGCCTTCTTCCAGTAACTGGAGCAGAGACCCATACACAGCCAAGCATTGGGCTGATCTCGGGGAATCCTGCTGAAGAGAGGGAGGAAGGATTGTAGGAGCCATGGACGTCAAGAACATCACAAAGGAACCCACAAAAGCAAAAATGTGGACTCATAGGAGTTCACAGAGTCTTGACCAACAGCCAGAGATCCTGCATAGTACTGACCTAGGCACTCTATGTATGTGTGGCAGTCATGTAGCTTGGTCTACTTGTGGGACCCCCAGCAGTGGGAGCACTGTCCCTAATGCTTTGGCAGGGTTTGGGGAACCTATTCCTCAAACTGGATTGCCTTGCCCAGCCACAATACAAGGTGAGGAGCTTAGTTCTACCTCAACTTGATATGCCATGCTTTGTTGATACCCATGGGAGGCCTGCCCCTTTCTGAACAGAAACAGAGAAGGAGTGGATTGGGGGAAGGAGATTGAGGGGAGATGGGAGGAAAGAAGGGAGGGAAAACTGAGGTCAGGATGTAAAAATAAATGAGTAAATTGAAGCAATAAAAAAAGAATATTTCATACACAGAACATTTCAATTGAATTCTCCTAAGTGAACTTCAATGAATGAGAAATATTTGATTTCTCATTGAGTAATAAAATAATCTTTAATTTTTAAAATAATTTTTGGGAACTTTATTCATGGCTACTCCCTTGCCTCCTCCAACTCCTTTCTTACATCCTGTCCCCAAACTCACAATCTCTTCTTTATTTATTACTGTTACATATTTGTACAACCTACAGCATCTATGCAGCATTGCTCGTGTGTGTGTCTGTGTGTGTGTGTGTGTGTGTGTGTGTGTGTGTGTGTGTGTGTGTAGGGAGGACCACTTGGGATTGAACCACTTATAAAGGAATGCCTGGAGGAAATGTTAGAAGCTTGAATTTGTACTGAGATATAACTTAGCTATTAGACATAAAAGTCTTTGGAAGTGCACAGTCTGTTTATTGTGTGACATTCTCTCAGCTGTGTTTGAACTGTGGACTAAATTCATCATCGGAATCAAGTCGTCTTGGCTACTGTGTGTGTTTTCAGATAAATCTGTACCTATGCATTCTTTCCATCATTAGGTTAAATGCTATAAATATTGGCCTGATGACACTGAGGTGTATGGTGACTTCAAAGTGACCTGTGTAGAAATGGAACCCCTTGCTGAATACGTAGTTAGGACATTCACCTTGGAAAGGGTAAGCACTAAAAACTTCTATTGAAACTTTTTCAAAACTACTACTGGGTTTTGTTTTAATTACTAAGAAATCTGTCCATTAATCTACAAATTCATTTGGATTTTTTGTTCTTTTTTGTTTTTGTGTTTGTTTTTTTCGGAGGGGGTCTTGTTTTTTGGATTTTTTTTTTTTGTTTTCTGTTTGTTTGTTTTTTATTCTTTTTCATAACAGGGTCTCACTACGTAGCTCTGCCTATCCTGGAACTCACTATATAGACCAGGCTGACCTCAAACTCACAGAGATTTGCCTGCCTTTGCCGCCCAAGTGCTAAGAGTGAAGAGCATGTGCCACCCAACCCAGCAATCTACACATTCTTATTTGAGAGCTAAGCCTTGTGACATGTATTAAAATCCCTACTCTTGTGTCCTCACCTGAAGGGGGCGGAGCAGATAGCAACTGTAAAGAGAGACTGTTGTGTAGCTGCAGAGCACTGTGATAGAACAGCCTTTGGAAATCGAAATAGGAAGTATTGCTGAGGTAGAAGAGGAAACGTTTGACAAAAATTAAAAGGGTTATGGGGAAGAACAAATTTAAAATGGTATGCAGACCTGATGGAAGTGAGTGTGTGAGATTATGTCAGGGGAAGGTTTCCCTGAAAGAGCTGAGTCACATCATAGCCCTAAGCCTTAAATTTTCCTATTCTGAGAAGGGACTCATGTTTCAGATGTCAGAGATAGGTAAGTCAAGGGAAAGGAAATATGCAGGACAAAAGAATCACAGAGCCAGACATGGGGGCCAGGTTGGCCATCCCAGTGATGTTAGTTTGTGAGTTAGGTGGCCATTGGAGGGCTTTGAAGCTGAGAATACCTCATCAATGTTTTGTTTTGTTTTCATTAATTAATTTTTTCTTGATATTTTCATAGTATAAAATACATTCTAATTATTCTCACCTCCCACCTCTGTCAACCCTATCTCCTTTTCCTAAACTCATCTTTATTTGTGTTGTGGCCCACTGAGTTTAAGGCAAAGAACTTAGGAAGCGAGAGGGAACACACTCTTAAAAGATGGGCCTAGGCACAGAACCATGGACGCTGCAGAAGTGCTTAATGGATAATAGAACACACAAACATGTAAACAATGGTGCACACAAATCTATGAATATCAGTAACATCAACCTATAGTGTTAATGCAAATGAAAACACTAGACTCTGAAGACAGGCAGCTACTAAAACGCCTATGAAGAATGGTCAATGAATATGGATAAACCATTTTGTACTTTCAAATGAGCAAGAGTTTTAAAAAAGAATAATAATCCTCATTGATTGTGTGTGATCACTTAGATACTGTGTGTTAATGATCAGAATTCAAGTACTTTAAGTCTCTAGAAATCAGTATAGCAGTTGATCCACAGAATTTTTTAAACATTTAGGCATTTGATGCATTTACCTATCATAAGTCTATCCTTAGGAATTTATTTATATGTAATAACTTCATCTGTATTATTGTGAAATTCTAGATAACTGTAAACATGAAGTAGTAGAGAAATAGTCAAATCATCAAACACACAAAATATTACAAAATTAGAAGCCAGAAAAAATACCTATAGCATAAAGGCAAATTTTAGATTAAAGAGGAACACCAACCAGGAAAAATACATTTAAAGCCCGGTAGCTTAAAAGAATCCATAAAATACCTAAATCTCTAATTCTAAATGAGGGACAGTGAAAATTTTCAAATATTGTATAAAGTACACCAGATTATAAAGCATGGGGAATGGGTTACTATAATTACATTTACTATTAGAAACGTTACTTTAAAAATCATGCATAAACTTGGACATACAGACATGAATTTTGGTCCAGACCTACCAATTGTCCAGCAAATTTTATTTCTCAGAAACTGGCTGAAAGATAAGGGTGAACAGATGGTAGGGGGAAAGAAAAAGAATAATTGTTAAATTTACCATTGAAATGGAACTTTAGGTTTGTCGTTGAGATTTTTTTTTCTTTCATCCTTTTGAATAATGTGCTTGTTAATCCTTTTCCAGTCAGAGAAGACGATTAAAAATCAACAAAATATATTTGATTAATGTGAGCTGTCATAAAATAAGTTGTGAATGATCAGACAACTGTGTCCCAGACTGTGGAATATTTGAGGTCACTGTCATCACACAGGCTTAACCCAGTTCTAAACAGCATGCCACTAGAGTCGTGGAACTTTTTTCTTTCTGTTATGTATAATTTAAAGCAGGTTTTGAAAGTAGAGCACATGCTTGGTCATTAGTCAGAAATTCCATTTATTTATTTGTTTGTTTGTTTGTTTATTGTACAGTGCTTGGGATTGAACCCATGCCTTGTGCGTGCTAAGCAAGTACTCTTCCACTGAGCTACATCCCAGCTACAAAGGAAATTTGAAATAAAAGATTCCTGATGGGATGTTTACGGTCAGATAGGGAAAATTAGTCTTTAAAAGGCAGTCTTCTGCCATGTCACAGGAGAAGAGAGCACACGCAGCCCATGCAACCACTCTGGCAAGGTAGTTTAATATAGAGGGTATGGAAAATAGCAGAAAAAGAAGACGATTTTCCCATTTTTGTGATTTCAGGATGACTTTTGTCATGAGACTGTTAAGGTTTTTTTTGTAGATCCCTCCTTCACGTAGCATAGTGTGCTAGGAATTAATGTTGAAAAGAATTATAAGGCCTGATCTGTAGCTCCCGAGGTTTTGATCACACTGGTTTCTGTAAGACAGACTATGAAGATAAACTGCCATTCTCAAATTGATTTATTTAGTTCATAAATTTTTGCTTTTTCTGATTGAACAAGTAAGATTAATATCTTCACTGGTAGCTCACAGTAAAGTTAGATTGATATAGATTTTTTGTGTAGGAATCCAGATCCTTAAAAATAAATTTTTCAGTATTATATTTACAGTTTCGATGCTTCCTCCAACCTCAGGTTTCTCTTATGAAACGGGAGAGGGCTTTATAGCAACCTTTATAAGGTTTTCTTCGATTAACCTGAAAGGAGAGAGAAATAACAGAGGATGCTTCACTTCTTTTATTGTGTTGTTACTATAGATAATACTTGGTGAGCCAAATTACTTCACAGAGCTGAGAAAAAATCATTTACCCAGAGAACGGTTTAGCTGCCTGTGTATTTTCACAAACCAATCTAGTGTAGCACTGTCCTGGAAAATCCCGACATACTATGCTTCAAAACCATTTTCAACATGGATAAGCAAGGTATTGAAATCGCCACTTGAGAACTCGGTGCACTAGGTCAGGAGGGCTTTTCCACTTCTCCCTTGTCCCCCCAATAATTTCATGTGGTGTCATTCCCAGTAAGAGGCAAGCTGTCAAGGCAAATAAAAATTTACCCAGAAAAGCGAACAAAACAAAGTGTCTTTACAAGCAGTTCTCTGGCGATAAAGATTCAGTTCCCAAGCCGTGTTAGACCAGTATCCTTTAAAAAAAGAAAAAAGAAAAAGAAAACTTTACTAAATATTGTTTACATGGTCACTCACATTTAGTACCCATAAGTGTATTTAATGACTCTCTATGGACCCTTTCTGAAGCACTCTTTTCTATCTTTGCACAGAGGGGCTATAACGAAATCCGTGAAGTCAAACAGTTCCACTTCACTGGCTGGCCTGACCATGGTGTTCCGTACCACGCCACGGGGCTTCTCTCCTTTATCAGGAGAGTCAAGCTGTCCAACCCTCCTAGTGCTGGGCCCATCGTCGTGCACTGCAGGTGAGTGAAGCTCCCAGCTTCAAATGAGCATCCAGACCGGGCTTGTCAGCATGACAGCTAAGTGTCGCTTACGAGGTTCCTGTTTGCCTGTACTACACATAATGTGAAGCAGAAATAAAAATTGGCCTCGTGTGGGACACAAGGTAGGAGCTTACAGAGTACACACGGTCATCCTGGTGTGTAGTGTTACTCTCAGGTACCAGTGTGTAAAGCGCCTCTTAGTGGCAACATCTGTGTTGGCCCGTTTTTTCACGTTTGAAGATCCCATAATGTGTAGAATGGTAAGTTAAAAATAGAGATTTTTTTCCCCCCCAATCCACTTAATTCCCACTAGAATCCCAGCTTTTAAAGCTGAATTTGAGATTACTAAATGGCCTAAATTGCAAGAATTGGGGCTATAAAACAGGTGCGTACCTTTTTCTTTTTCAAAACACTATCCATCAGAGGACCTTAAAAACCGTATAGCTGAGATTCAGCAGATATATGCCAAAAACACGAATATTGAATCCAGATTTCTTCTGATTAAAAACTTCTTTGAGGGGGGAAAAAAAAGCAATCGGAGACACTGAAAGCAAACTGCATGGCTCATTTTGGGATAGGGTCAGAAAAATAAGCGGAGATTCTGAAGAGCTGTTCTGAAGGCTGTACGCCATTCTCAAGTAGTACTCCTTCCAAATGACTGCATACACTGAACTTCGGCGTCTTTTTTTTTTCTTTCTGTAAAATCCAACCACTTCAGAATTTCAATGACCTTGAAAAGGAAAAAAATAAAGGCAAGGGACACATAAGGATCAGACGTGGGACATATCCTGAAGGAAAAAAAAAAGTGTCCTTTCAGTCCTCCAGAAATCTGATGTACTCTCTTCAATTATTTTCCTGTCACAGATACTGGAAACAGTGATTGAGAAGGTTGGGGGGAAGTAGTGATCCCTGACGTATCTTTGGCTAACACATAAAAGAACAGCAAGTGTAAGCGAGATGACCATACTTGACTAACAAAGGAATAATCCCATTAGTCCAGCTAAACGTTTAGAAAATGAGATAAGTAGGTTTCAAATTCAGGGACTTCTTGACTCATTGTGGGGTTTTGTGTTCTCATGAGTTGCTTGCTTCAAAAGGGCTCTGGAATCCCTTGGTTCCCAGAAACAGAAACAGTGCCATTTCCCTTCACATACTGTCATCTCTGCGTGTCTAGAAAAGAAGAAACTGGCTAGATAGTGAATCCCACACCTCTCTCCACACCGCCCTTCACTGGCCCTCAATTGCGTTGTCTATTTGATTGCCCCTAAGCGTTCCAAGGGGTGAAATAATCGAGGCATATTATGATCCTGCTTTATAAATGAAACAGACAAGAGTGACTATCAGGCTGGAGAGTTGCCTCAATAGTTACGAACACTGGCTGCTCTTGCCGAGGACCCAGGTTCAATTCTCAGAACCCACCTGGCAGCTCACAATGGTGTGTATCTCCAGCCCCAGGAGTCCAGTGCCCTCTTCTGATGTCCACAGGCACCAGGCACACGCATGGTAGACATACATACATACAGGTAAAACATCCATCCAGTGAAAATACTAAAGTACGTCTGTAGAATAAATTTTTAAAGGGTAGCTATCACTGTGACCTGAGAGAGATCACACTCTATTTCACAGGGCAATTTTAGCTTCCCTTCGGATGCATTAAATATTCTTTCCCTTTGGGGCTCTTCCTCTCTGATAGTATCACTCTCTTCTCCAACCATCCCCTTTGACATTTCCTGTGAACTATGGCTCTTCTCATCTCCTATCTGAAGCCCTTGGGATCAGTGGCCTTGGTGTTTACATGAGTCTTGCTGAGACAGCAAGTCCTCCTGCTGTTGGACAGCAGACCACAGGAGCATGAAGGAAATGTGATGTAGAGTTAAATTCTGTAGCTTGATTCCAATATGGTTTCGGTCCCATGAGTGTGAAGTTATAAAATAACATAAAATTATAACATTTAAATTCACATGAAATGAAGGCAGTGTGATAGAGGTTTGGAACTTTAACAACATGTAGACATTAAGCTCAGTGTGGAAATAATTTGCAACTCTTGTTCCGATCTAAGTACACCACACCAAATCAGACACTCCATATACAGTTAGTTGTGCATTAGTATGTTTTTGTGTGGCATATAAAATTATGTGTTTGCATTTTGTTAAGTCAATTTGATTTCATGTAACTTCAAAGTCGAATAGAGATTGAAGCTTACAAAGAGAAACATGCCTCTCATACTTCTTTCAATTTCTTAGTGCTGGTGCTGGACGCACAGGCTGCTACATTGTGATTGACATCATGCTGGACATGGCTGAAAGAGAGGGTGTGGTGGACATCTACAACTGTGTCAAAGCCTTACGATCACGCCGCATCAATATGGTTCAGACAGAGGTAGATTGTGCTGCCCTTAATCAATTTTTTTCCTTTGGTTTTCACCTTTTACCAAATGCAATTTACCATATTTTTTAAATATATGATCAATATTAACTCATCAAATCATATAGAGTAACTGGTATCTTAATTAATAGTTCCTTTTTGGTATATTCTCTAGCTCCTCTAAACATTACTAAACTCATATGAAATTGTCTGCTTTCTTTCTTTTGATAGGAGCAGTACATTTTTATTCATGATGCCATTTTAGAAGCTTGCTTATGTGGAGAGACTGCCATCCCTGTCTGTGAATTTAAAGCCGCATATTTTGATATGATTAGAATAGACTCTCAAACGAACTCCTCCCATCTCAAAGATGAATTTCAGGTATTGACTGTTTCTAAGGTTTCTATTAAAACTTTTCCAATTTGTCCTGGGCACTAATAACTCTTTTAGAAAAGGTCTTTCAAGTCAAATGTATAACCTTTGACCCTTCTGCAACTATGACATTTGTGTCTTTCATTGTGTAAATTATGGATTCATTTTTTATTAATGCACTGATAATCTGCTATATCCTAAAGGGCAAATGAGTTCATACTCTGAAAAGAGTATGAGAAAAAAGATATTATAGCAGTCAAATCTGGTTATGATTTTTATGTTTATAACTTTTTTTTTCCACCATAGAGTCTTACTATTTTGGCCTTCAATGGCATGCACAATGTGAGATCGGCATATTAATAATAATAATAGCTGAGATTTGTACTAAACCTTGTCTTAGCTCCAATGTGTTCACTGCCTTCATACACCCTTCAATATGAAAAAAAAAAAAAAACAATGAGTTCACACGTGGCCCTGGAAACTGCTCCTTAGATTCTGGGTGTAGTGTTCTAACGTGACAAAATGGCATTGCAAATGGTAGCTCCCCATTTGAAGGTCATCATTACTGTTGTGGATCACCCTTGTGTTTTCCTTGACTGGGCAGTGTGTTTTGTAGAGCACGGTGTTGTTTAGCTCTTCTTTCCTATTGAGAAGAGACACGTGACTAAAATGTGTCTTGTGGCTGCCTCCCTTCACAGGCTTCGTTAGCTTAACTAAAAAGTCTGTCGGCCTGTCACAGAGGCAACTCCCACTGCCTGCCACAAACGCTTCGCCTTCCACTCAGCTTCCTGAATTCTTGATGGGCCTGTGTTATGCTATTAAATGGGTCGCTGTCTTTTAACCTGGGTTCTCTTTTCTGTTTAGACTCTGAATTCAGTCACCCCTCGACTCCAAGCTGAAGACTGTAGCATAGCATGCCTGCCAAGGAACCATGACAAGAACCGTTTCATGGACATGCTCCCACCTGACAGATGTCTGCCTTTTTTAATTACAATTGATGGGGAGAGCAGTAACTACATCAATGCTGCTCTTATGGATGTAAGAGACTGACTCTTTGTTAGTGTAAAATGCCCTGAAAAGCTACATAACTCAACTGAACACTGGCCACTTTTCTTTTCTTGGAATTACAAAATGGACTAGAATGGAAAACTGGAAACTGTCAGTGAATTACAAATTGTTCTGAAAAGGATTTTAGGTTGCACCTCCAGAGATTCTTAGCAACTCTAATCTTTATAGGTTTATTGTAGACTTGAAGTTTGATAGTTGTATTATCCTATAGAAAAATCTCACAAGTTATATTTTTCATCGTATTTTGAGACGAAAGATTCACAGCTTACCTTTTTTGAATAGTAGGAATACATTTTAAAATCAAAGAATGCTGTATCCTACCAAAGTGTGGGGTTTTAATTTGAAAACATTTCCCTATGATGCTCAGTGTTCCAGTAATTTAAAGGTCATTAGTTTTCTTTAGTATTAGCTAGCTGGGACTATTTATAAATAACTAGGGAAGACATGAACAGAATCCGTCTTCAGGAAAGAACTCTTTTGACCTGTCCCATCGCTCATCACCAGCAGGTGCCCCCGCACATACTCTGTGTCAGCTGCCCATAAACAGAAGAGGGAAGGGGACTGGAAATTATGTCATCAGCCATCTTGTTTTGTTATCTTGGGAAGAAGCAAGGAAGCTGATAAGTTTCACCATCCTTAAGACAATTTATCACCTTTATTTCTTTTTCAATTTACCTATGAAACTATAGCAATGAAAATATAGGGGTCTTTTCCCTCCCTGACTATTACAAGGTTTTCTAAGTTGCTACCCCTACTTCTTTAAAAGACAGGGTCTCACATAAACCAAGCTGACCTCTAATGTTCTGTCATTCTGTATAATGGAGGATGGCCTTGAACTCCTGATCTTCCAGCCTCCACCCCTACGGTGCTAGGATAACAAGCGTGTGCCACCCAACTACTTGTTGGGTTTCCTAAACTTTATTTCAGTGAATATATGGCCAAACATGGAATAGAGAATGCAGAAAGTCCTACAGTGTCCCGCAAAGACTACCTTGTACATTGTTGTTGCTCTTTTTTTATTTTTCTACTACAGAGCAGAATAATGCAAGAGCAAGCTCTCACTAAAAGTTACCCCATCCTTGATGTGCCCAGAGTCTTACCAGTATAGCTTTAAATCATTACATTAAAAAAAAATGTGTTTTAGTATAGATCATGACTGACAAATTGCCCAGACCAGATAAACATGGCTTTTACAACCACGGAAAGTGGATTGTCTGATAAAGGACATGTTAATGATCTCTGCACAGCATAATAACAGTAAGATTTTGAGGTACTTGTGATTTTTTTCTTACTGGAGAAGAGAAGAATCTTCCAGCCTAATTTATACACATGTAGAAATTATATGTGTGTGTACAGAGCAGAGATGCTTTGCTTATTTTGTTTTGAAAGTTACTGCCACCTACTTGGTCCTGCAATGGAGTACATTGAATCTGTTTGTACAACCGATGGGGCATTGTATTTATTCTTTGTGAATGTCATAAATGTGTCCAGTCCCTTTTGCATTTTAAGTTCTTCTCTTTCTCAACTATCCTGTCTCTCCACAGAGCTACAGGCAACCAGCAGCCTTCATTGTCACCCAATACCCGCTGCCAAACACTGTGAAAGATTTCTGGAGATTAGTGTATGATTATGGCTGTACCTCCATTGTGATGTTAAATGAAGTGGACTTGTCCCAGGTGGGTGTACGTGGGTTGATTCTGTGCTTCTGAGTGCATCCTAGCAGGATAGTAACAAATTCCGTTTTCAACTTTAGAGGACTTTGAAACAAAACCAAACCTCTCTTCTTTCTTTTTCAAACATTAATCATCTAGGGCTGTCCTCAGTATTGGCCAGAAGAAGGGATGCTGCGATACGGCCCTATCCAAGTGGAGTGTATGTCCTGTTCAATGGACTGTGATGTGATCAATCGGATTTTTCGGATATGCAACCTAACTAGAGTAAGTCTTTCTTGGGGCATTCTCACTGACCTAATTCAGAGCAAGTAGGTAGTGATCCTGATGGGACCTAATTCTATCCAGACAACAGGGGGGGGAAGAATTAATAAGCACCACATGATCTAGCCCAGAGCCACTAATCACCTTATGTCTTAGTTCTGGGACAAAAGTATTCCAGACACAGGAAATTTGAAGTGCTGGAAGCTAGGTTCTCCAGTCGATGAGGACAGTAGCATGTTCCATCTGGAAAGCCAAATCCAGATGCCGTCTCTCAGTCAGTTTTCATAGTCTGGGCCTGGCCCCAGAGCACATGTGGACTTCTGTAAGGGATGATGGCACACTTTATTAATATTGACATCCAGCATAGAGAAAAAAAAGCATACCGGTGAAAAGGAGGAATAATCATGATAACAACAGAGAGTACAACGGCCAGCCATCACAGGAGACTTCCATGTCACTATTTTAGGACCTGTGTGCAATGGGAAAGCCAAGCCTGAGGGAGAAGTCAGCTACAGCTATTGCTGAGTCTCTTCCCGCCCTTCACCTCCTTGTTCTGACTTCCGCTGCGCTGAACACTGCAACATCTGGTTCTGCCCAGCTGTGAAGGAGGAATCGGTGTTGCCACTGCTGTGCCTTTTGCCAGCAGCTGAGTGGCACTTGTGTCCCACAGGGGGGTTTCTTTCCCTGACAAGTCATGGGTTTTGTACAATAGTAATGCCGAAGGCCTTTCCTTGCAAAAACAGCCAACAAAAAAACTAATAAAACCATTTAGCTTTTAACAAGGTAGCAGAATTTTAAAATAGTAACCCCCATGACACGGCACTTTGAAAAGAGAAGGTTGCCCTGTTTTTATAGTCATCAGTTCTGTTTAAGTCTATGATTTTCAGCATGTGACCAGGACTGTCTTGTTTCTTATATCAAAATGACTATATGTGTGTCTTGTTCATTAGCCTATATGTATATAACTAGGAACAGGAGGTAAACTCATAACCAATTCTATCACTCATTTCAGTGGAGAAAAAAAGGAATGAATTCAGTCATGTCATAATATTCATGCATATCTTAGACTTTAATTTAAATGGAATCTCATTATGTCTGCACATCTGCTTCAATATCTTTTTAGTAATATTTTAACTACATAACTGTAGATGCTCAACTACGGAAACAAACTCATCTGTGAGTTGAGCTCTCTATGGAAAGTATTCTAGGACAAGATTTGAAATCTGCGTTTCAATTTTTTTTCAGAATATATATTGGTTTGGTTGTCTCCCTGCATAGACTGTGTTCTGGTGCTGATTCATACCTGATGTTTTTATTCTTGGTATCGTTATTTCATACTGCTCACTTTGTTGTGAGTTTAGTATGCAAGTGGGATATGAGAGTAGGTAGGGCCTCTGCCCTACCAAGAGGTACATGAGCCCCTCCATGTGAAACTTAAAATCTGATACCCTGTGATACAACTCATTCAGTATACCACATAGTCTTCTCTGTATTCCCTACTTGGGATTCTAGGTTTCTCTTTCTTCCAACAGCATTGCTGTTTTGAAAATACATAGTCTGAGGTGGAAGGAGAGAGTTCCTTGTCTTTAAGGAATCTATACATTATCTGAGAAGGCTAGCATCAATCACACGACTGATCATGCAAATATCTATTCACTGACATGATGTACATGTGTCCGAGGAGAAGTGCAGGATATAAAGTGACCAGAGAAACCTTCTCTGAAGATAGGGGTATTTAAGCAAAAATTTGAGGAATTAGTAGGTATTATTTGAGGATGAGATAGCCAGAGACAGAGAGCTTCCCCAGGATACTTCGGTTCTGTGCCAGCACAGGAAAGTCCCCAGGCAAACCTGGATCAAATTAGCTATTCTACTTGATAGTGAGAAGAACACTATAGTAAGACGTTTTCAAAACAAACAGGGACATCCTCTTCAAAGTCCCCATGGCAAGAAGTAAAGTGGCCGATAAGCTACAGGAAGATGAGTGTCTCCAACCTCATTGCTCCATTAGAGGGAAAAGAGGTTTGAAGGCGAGGCAAACCAGATCATAAAAGGAGTTTTGGGTCGCAGCAAATATGGCTAAAAACATTGGGAAGCCATTCGATCTAAGAACAAGATCGTTTTTAAACCTCAGCAAAATCATAATGCCTATAGTAAGAGTGGATGGAAGGGAGGTAGACGCACATTAAAGGAAATCTACAGGAAGTAGTTGTCACAACTTGTGTAGGTTGTGGCCATCAAGAGACAATGAATTTTAAAGGCTTTGGAAAGTTGGACAGTGGGACGTGAGTGTGAGTGTGAGGTTCGGGGTGTGAGGAAGAGGCAGCGTCTTAGTTATTTTCCTTTTTTTCTGTGACAGAGTACCTAACAAGAAGCAAATTGGGTGAGATACATTTATTTCAGCTGATAGTTTGAGAGATACTGTCGGTCACCATAAGGGTCATGGCAACAAGAGCATAATGTCACTGGTCACAGGGCATCCACAGTCTGGAAGTAGGGAGAGTTGGCTGCCTGAGTTCAGCTTGCTTTCTTCCTTTCCATACAGTCTAGGACCCCAGCCTGAGGAATGCTGCTGCCCAAATTGAGGGTGGATCTTCCCACTTTGGTTCTCCCAGTATAGATAATTCTTCACAAGCATGCCCAGATATTTGTCTCTAAGGTGATGCTAGATCCTATGAAACTGACAATCAGTATAAACCATCACAGGCAGATAAAAAGGACATGCCCTATGTTCTTGCTCTTACAACTTGGAATGTTTCTGTAAAAGCATCTGAATTGTCATCAGCTAGACTCCATCCGGTATAAATGTCCTTTGTATTCTTGTTCTGATGCCCGTAAAATCCTGCTTTTCTCTCCAGCCACAGGAGGGCTATCTGATGGTACAGCAGTTCCAGTACCTCGGATGGGCTTCTCATCGGGAAGTGCCCGGCTCCAAACGCTCGTTTCTGAAACTGATACTGCAGGTGGAAAAATGGCAGGAGGAATGTGAGGAAGGGGAAGGCCGGACGATCATCCACTGCTTGTGAGTAGGGCAAAGCAGCATGCCCTGGCCCTGCATGGAACCTCAAAACTCATTTCCTCATTAGCCTTTGTTTTGCTTATGTTGAGAAGATGCTGCTCAAATCCTGACGAACCTGCCATAGATCTTATTCCAAAATAGAACTCTAGTCTCATGAATGAATAATTTACTACTAATTTTAAGGGTTTTTTTTTGTTTTGTTTTGTTTTCTAACTATTAAATGTGATATACTTGTTGGAGTTAGAGAGATGGCTCAATAGTTAAGAGCACTGGCGACATTTCTATAGGACCTGGGTTTGATTCCCAGTACCCACCCTCTCTGACTCTAGTTCCAGGAAATCTGATGCCCTCTTCTGCCCTCCATGGGCACAGCATGCGTGAGGTACACAGACACACATGCACATAATAAAATCATAAAAATTACGCAATTGTTAAATGATTTAACTCTTTCGAGCACCTATGTGGACAACCTCTGTGATTCATACAGTTGCAAATATATTAGGATCTCCACATCTCAATTTATGCCTTTCACGTATTCCTGCTGCCAAGCTCCTGAGCTAACTTTATCCTCTGGTCCCTTCCTCTCTGCGCTTCCCCTGTGCATACACAAATATAAAGCAGAATCCAAAGACATGGAAAAGGATTTTAAAGATAAATTGCCACTCCCAGATGAATGTGACGGGGTGACGTTCGAGTCCCCCCAAGGTGCTCACTCTGTATCTGTGCTCTCAGGAATGGCGGTGGCCGCAGTGGCATGTTCTGCGCCATAGGCATTGTTGTTGAGATGGTAAAGCGGCAAAACGTGGTGGACGTTTTCCATGCTGTGAAGACCCTGAGGAATAGCAAGCCAAACATGGTGGAAGCCCCGGTGAGTCACACAATCTTGAGAGGGTCTCGGGGACACTTAGTCACATGCCTACTTACTGGTTTGGCTTCACGTACACACGGGAACTCAGTCAGATGTACAAATGAGGCTTGCTGGAATTTGTGCCTAACAGGTAGACCGTAGAGACTGCCTCCACCAATGTAAATACATTGCTTATCACATGAGCTGCTGAATGAAGCAAATGTTCATTTAATTTGAGAAATGTGTAGGGTTTGTTCTCATTATAGTCAGTAAATTTGTGCTCTGGCAAATTTTTGGAAACAGTTCTATAAGAATAAATCCAGCTAAAATATAGAGTTAACTAGTAGCGTATTTATGCTCCTGGACGCCTCAGCATCTTAGACACCTATTTTATTCATTTGCTTCATTTCATCAGACTTGTTTTGGTGCCTGGGTGTGTGTGTGTGTGTGTGTGTGTGTGTGTGTGTGTGTGTGTGTTACTAGACCTCAAACATGATGGGCAAGGTATTCTACCACTAACCCATACCTGCAGACCTGACACCCAGTGTTTTGGAAAAAGTAACTGAAGTTTATTGCAGTGTTTATCTGTAATCCTTCACTGTCTAATACAACTGTAAATTATCAGTTTGCCCTTGCTAGCAGTTTTCAGCTTTTAGCACCTTGAAAGTACAGCCCACACAATGTGACATGAGTTCTCCTGAGTTCCTAAAGCTTGTAAAGTAGGGGCTGATGTGGGTAAGGCTTCACCTGCATGGAGCTGTGTACCAAGTAAAAAAAGACAGTTGCGGCCTCTGTCACATGTTTTCCTTGGGGGTTACATGTCAGTACAGTGAGATCAGGTGAAGAGCAGCTGTGGCACTCACAGAACAGTAAACCAGAAAACCCAGAGCATCATTGTTGCTTGCCCTACTTTATCAAGATGATCAGATAACAAAAAAAGAAGAAAAAGAGGCGATTCAGTAAGCTCCTGGTGTGTTTTTACCACTTCCTGCTCTGGGCTGTTCACACAGGAGGTGCATTGCTTCCTGAGACTTAACATCTAAGGGTTTGTGCTGTTTCCCTTTGACAAGTGGTAACTCACTTCTCCCTTTCTGAAGTCCACATAAGGGAGTCCACCTAGGACAAGACGATGTTGCCCTCTCCGGGGGTGCTGGTGTGTGGATTTGAGAGAGTTTTCACATACTAAATGGACAGGAGGTAGCTATGGCTCAGGTTTCACAGGTGTGTGTAACCTGTCAAATATACTCTGCCTGAAGCATTGAAAGTCCCATGAGGATTACTGTTGCCCTCAGAAGGAACTTTTATCTCCAAATTTATCTTTGATATACAACCCTTTCTTTAAGTCTGTAGTTGAACAGTTGTCTTAGAACCTTCCAGTAAGTTACAATTTTCCTTTATAGTCATGCCCCACAAATCCTGACAGAATGCTCTGCTTAATAAACAGGAATGATTAGTTAAGTTTGCTATGGGTTTGGGCCGAGTTTGCTAGGGAAATTCAGAGTTAAACAAAATTGAGAGGCACTGGCTGGTGGCAAGCACTTTTTGAAGTTCTTTGGGTACAGTAAGAGCTAATGTAAAGCATATTTACCTTGGTAGTTAGAGTAAAATTGATACCCATCTCTTGGAAATTTGTGTTGCCATGCTTATTGCTAGAGACTCTGGATATTCTCTTTAGAAATAAGACTTGTTTTGTGTTCTCTGAATTCTGCTTGCTTGGACTGAATAGGAAATTTTCAGTGATTTACATGGTGTAAGTCACCATTTATAACATAGTCTCTAGACATTCTTAAGTTCTTGATAATGGGTTAAGTATGTGGCTAGACTCAAAGGAAGTCTGGTTTTAACTCAAATAGTAGGTTAACAAGCAAGTTGTACTATTTGGGGAGAGGTAGCAGAAATCAATTTTTAGACATAAATAAGTTCAAAGTTTTTGGAAAATTCCTAAATTTTTTTAAAAAATTTTAAGTGACACTCTGATAGAATATGAACCGTGAGAAAATGTAAAACATGACATTACAAAAGGTAGTTTCCAGTGAGTGGTTCTCTGTCTCTTGCTCTCTCTCTCTCTCTCTCTCTCTCTCTCTCTCTCTCTCTCTCTTTCTTTTATCTGAAGAGATGATTTGGAATGTGGAGGGAATCATTGGCACACCCCAGCAGCAATAGAAAACAGGAAAATATCAAAGCAATCTAACAAATAATCCATGTGGTAGATTTTTATGTAATCTAAAAAGACTCAGAATTGTGTGACATAAAACTGTTAACCGTAAAATCATCTTGTGAACTATGGTCATTTTATTTACTCTGAGATAATTATTATTTCAGTCCCGCACTAAAATCGACTGAGGTAAACAAAGGTGATTTTTAACAGTTGTTTCTAATGACAGCTCTTGTCCTGGTTCTTCATATTTTTTGTAAGCTGGGAAACAGTCTGATGATGAGGTGTAACTATTTTAATCACATAAAAATGCTGGGCATTATATTAAACTATAGAAAATGCAGGGCAAAGATAAAACATCTTTTTTTTTTCTTTTTCTTAAACACCTATTGTTTTTTTTTTCTTAATCAGAGATCATTAGACGTGAGTATAAAATATGTATGCCCAGATGTTCCTGTTATATACAGAATAAGTAATTTGCGACTCTTAAATAATCTAAATTGGATGTCAGGAATCCACACAGATGCTATTATTCACTATTAGCCCTTTGCTAACATTTTTCATCCCTTCTGTTCTGACACATTGCAGGAGCAGTATCGTTTCTGCTATGACGTGGCTTTGGAGTACCTGGAGTCCTCATAGTTAGGTGAGGCCATTTGCAGAGCATCCGAGCAGAGACCCATTCTCGCCTGTTGAGCCAGCAGCTGTTGACCTGTGACACCTGCACAGAGAGATTTTAATGTGGGGGGTGGGAGGCTTTTACATTGGAGAGGCAAACGTATTTTTCTTATAAAGTTGTGTATCTTAATAAAAAGGACTTGATCGGTTTCTATGACTGTATGAAAGCATCCACATTTTGTGCCACCCAAGTTATCTTTAAGAAGAAGCAGATTCCGATGAGGAGAAATGACCAGCGTCTGTACAGTGACCACACAGCCTTTTCTCTCCTGCTTTAGGTAGAACAGCTACGGCACATTGCATGCACTTTTGAAAGTGGCATTATTTCCCTTCCTTAAAAAAAGAAGCAGCAGCAGCAGCTGTGGAACCTTAAAGTGGGGAAGAAAACAAAAGCTGTGCGAATTCAAATGCATTTACTAATTTCATTTTTATATGTTCAAAGTGCAGCAGAGCTCTATATAAATGTATAAATATATATAAATATATATATATATATATAACTGGCTTATTTTCTTTTAATGTGCAATGATGGCTGGATCATTTAAAGTTCTTTTTCGGAAATACCATAAGCCAAAGACTCAAGTGTAAATATGTCAATATGAAAGAAGCACATTATATTTATTGGTTACTTACATTACTTTTTTGATGGCTAAAACACTACCACCACACAATCATTTTTGTTTCAGAAGAAAGCTTTTTCTTTAGCAAAAATCAATGGTAAACGATTTTTGTAGATTATTTTTTGTATGTTTAGTGTAAGTAGAGGATAAACTTTTTATTCATAAACCAGGAAGCAATGATGTTCTTTGGAGTGGCTCCCTTGTGTACATGCTTGTGAATTAAATTTATGTAAAACATCGTGGCAATTGTCTTTGAATAGAGGACCAAATTAAAATGTTTTGCTGAAAATGTAGTTTTTTTTTTCCCCAAGTTTTATTAGGTAAATGATGGCTTGGTGGTTGCACAAGAGAAATCCGCACAGCAGAAGACATTGTGGGTAGCTTGCCTGGTGTGGACTAGCACCTGTAAGCACTTTTAAACTTGAAAGGAGTTGGGTTTCTCAGCCTGTGGCCTGGCACTGTGTTCAGGATGGCAACACCGATGCTTCCAGGGACGAGGTTTAGCACACTGTAAGCTGTCAAGGTAACACAATGTTCTTTTTGATGCTTCCAAGCACAAGCTTTGGATTCCTACCCTAGAAAGTGTGAACAGATCGATGCCCGATTCCTGTTGCCTGCTTTTATGAGATTTCCCCAGTGACTTTTTCTAAGTGTGGTCTCATTCACATGCTCCACGTCGCTGTAACTTCACATCATCACCTTGCAGTTTGTTAGTAACTGAAGCATTCCCGTGTCCTCTTTCTAGACTGCCGGCCCATGACATGGTGCTTATAAAGATTTAATTAAAGTGAGAGTGAAATAAAGTTTTTATAATTTCAACATTTATTGATTGCACATCATTTTGTCTTCTAAATTTCCAGATCTTTATTCCCAAATAAATAGTCTGTCTATAATTTAATATGAGTGTGCCACAAAAATTGTACTGAAAGCTTTAGTTTGTTATATTGTTCCTTACACTGCATGGCACATAGTCCAGGTCAGGAAGGGTGTAAATAGCTGCATGGTTAGTGTCTTTTTAAAATCTTTTTTTTAATTCTCTGTATTTATATTGTCATAGTTTGTATTAGTTGCTTTCTGCCATCTGTCTAAGAAAACAGCCTTAAAAGAGCCAAGAATTCATTCCGGCTCTCACCAGGAGGGTTTCTGTTCCCAGTCCCTTGGCCGCTTGCTCTGGGCCTGTGTTGGGGACTCTGCTGAGAGGTTCGGGGTGGTACAGCGGCCTACCTCATGATGGCTGCAAGACAGAGACAGCTCTCTCCTACAGCAATGCTGTTTGCTCTCACTGTGGAAATTGGCACGGCAAGCAGAAACAGATCCTACGTCAGGATAACTAAGAAGAAAGACATTGCCCCTGTTCTTGAACGGTCCGCATAGCCCGGCCAACCCCAGCTGTGCTTTGCCCCCGCACAAAGTTTTGGTATAAACAAACTGTAGCAAAGATACCTAACAAAAAACATTTCACAAACTCATACAGGATTTCTTTACCTGGCAGTGATAGCCATGGTACCCCTGAGGATTATTCTGATCTGCTTCACGAGGATCATTTCCCTTCACACAACCGCACCAGACTTACTATGAACACAGCTATACACAAAGCTCAGTGGACCACGTAGCCTCCAGAACTCAAACAAAGAAAAATGGAGTCCCTTTTGCTATATCAAGAAATACAATATACCATGCTTGTATTGTACAGTGGCCAGTTCATCAGAAGACAGTATGAGAGCCCTGTGTTTTTCTGAATATTCATGTTCAAAGACTTAAACATTATAGCCTTGAAAACCTCCCTTACTAGACCCATGTGTGGTCATGTCTTGCTCAGCCGTGCCCTTCTGGAAAGATGTCTTGGCAGAGCTCTGGAATATAAGTGTGTGATATTTCGAAGTTGAAAGGTCTCCAGTGTGCTTATGTGTTATAGATCTGGTTGCCTACTGATGGGCTTTGAGGAAATGAGTGTATCATGAGCACTCTAAGCTTATTTATCCAGCAATCCAATAATAGATTCCTAATTTGGTGACATTATTGAGAAATAGTAGAAACTAAGAGTTGGGGATCTGGGAAGATGACTCAGCCATTAAAATACCTGCCATGTGAGCATGAAGACCTGAGTTTGAATCCCTGGAGCTCATTGGTCAGCCATTCTATCAGAATTGGTAAGCTCCAGGTTCTTTGAAAAACAGTTTCAAAAACTAAGGAGGCCAATTGAAGATGATATATTATATTGACTAGCTACAGAGAGGGTGGAGAGGGAGAGAGGAAGGGAGTGGGGAGAGAGAACACTAAGAATTGGTATCTCACTGGAGGATGTGCATGACTGAGAGCATGCCCCAGAAGGGTGTATCATCCCTGGCCCCTTGCTCTCACTCAGCTCTGCTTTCTGGCTGCCAAGAGGTAAGCAGCTTTCCCCTGTGGCACACTCCCTGCCATGATGTTCTGCCCCAACCACACGCAGAGACAATGGCACTCAGCAACCAAGAAGCAAAACCTTAGGAATCAAAATGAATCTTTCCTTCTCTAAGTTGCTTTCACCAGCCATGTTCTCTCTCTCTCTCTCTCTCTCTCTCTCTCTCTCTCTCTCTCACACACACACACACACACACACACACACACACACACACACACGCTGTTTGTAAGTAGCTCTCTCATTTCCCTGTAGCTGTTTCTCCTAAATATCTATCATAAGGTTGACTCTGCTGACGTTTTTCCTGTATGTAATTGCTGGGGAGATGTTGGAAATCTGTGGTCCACAGACACAGAAACAATAGAGAATGTATGAATTTTAACCAAGTACTTTAAAAAATGTGTTGGTGTTCTAATCTGAGCTGCCTACACAACCCTTTTCTAGTGCTTCTAGTGTCTGGACAAGGAAAGGACCTCAGAGAGAAGTGGCACACTCAAGTGACCTCTGACGTTGCTAAGTAAACAAGGAGACCCCTTCCCTGGATGTGGGGTGGTTAGGTTTGCCTCTCAGCAATGTTGCTCATTGAATATTCATGGTATTGAGACCCTCTCAGAATCCAGGCACAAGCTTTGAAATTTGGACATCGGTAACTGTTCCTTATCAAATATGCTCCACTCCCAAGAAATGGAGTGGCATCCATAACACTGCCCCAAACAAACATGGCTGAGAAAGTGCAAGGGAATGCACCTGCGCCTCAGCTGGAAGGAAGACATGGTCTGGCTACTCAGGAGGACAACCTTTAAGAATTAAGGGTTGCCCATTTGTATTTCCTTTTAATGAGCTTTGGCTGGCATTCTTTCTTAACAACATAGTCAGAAATCAGTAGTCTGTCATACCCAACTTTAGTTAGCAGTACTTACCCATAAAATACTACCAGAGGTAGAAACTTAACAGCCGTTCTAGATTCATGGTGTTTTAGTAAACTCTGAGTCGATGTATGATTTATTTAGTGCTCAGCTAAGTCAAGTAAAAAGACAGGTTATAATTATTAATTGTCCCTTGCTTAATAATCTTGACTTGCGTATTATTTCATAAGGTCTCCCTATAGCTTAAGGAGGTTAGAAGAAAGAGTGACATCTGACTATTTCCACAACACTAGTCTAGTCAAACAGTCTGCTGAGTTTTCGAATATTATCTCTGAAATCAAAAGGAAAAGCTCTTTCTTGGGATCTATCGTAAGCTGTGACTCACTTCTAGAATATAAATTATCCAAAGATCAATAAAAAAAATGTGATAGCTATATAACATTTCAGCACATCTATCTTCCTCCAAAGTGATTTGAAATGCTAACCTGGAAGAGAGCAAACACCAGGGAGACGCTGTTGCATCAAATCCTAAAAGTAATGGATACACTTCTGATCCACTGACGGTCTCAACAGACCATCTCAAAGCTCTTTCTTTAAATGTTAAAATATGTCCAGGGAGGGAAGCAGGGACACACTTTCTGACAGCTAACATCTCTCAGAATACACTTGCCAATTACACAAAACGATATACAATTCCCAAAATTTTAACACAAAACAGTACTGCTGATATACCAGATCAACTGTTTAGGGTTTTTTAGTCTAGACTCTGCTCTAAGTGTACAGACGTTAGATCACAAAGCTTTGAAAGAAGGAAGTGTACTTAGAGGCATGTGTTCAGTATATCCGGATGGGGGAATAAGAAATTCAGATCCAGTCACAGATCCTCTAACTTGTTTTCCTAAATAGAGATTAGACTGTACAGGCAGGGAAAGGTCGTGTGTGAAGCTTTGCTTGTGGAGTCGTGGAGACACACCATCCAACTGGGAAAGTAGAGAAAGTGTGAAGACCGTGGCCCTTCCTCTTGTTGAAAAGAGTGGAATACTCAGGGTTAGGACCTCAAGGACTGCAGGGGAGAGCCTGGTGCCATGCTTTGTTTGTTTTTTGTTTTTGTTTTGTTTTTTAATGACTACTCAGGTCATATTACAGCAGATGCCTTCACCTTTTGCTTTCCTCCTGGGAATAATTTTCGTCTCTTAAATACCCTGAATTTTCCACTCTGGCTTGAGAACTGTGTGCTGGCTGCTCTGAGCTTCCCATCTCTGCCATTAGAAGCCCAGGTGCATGAATGAGGGTTATTGGAAATGGTCCCTTGATATGGAAGACAGAAAGAAACTGTGTCAGGAAGATGGCAAGTGCCTCCTGGGCTCAGAAATATGCCCACAACCAAAGGATACAGCAGGTGACTCCCAGCATGTCCTGCATGGGAACACAGACCCATTCTGACGCACTCATACCTCGTTGTTCAAGACAATGTAAAAGAAAAAAATCAGAATTTCACTTTCTGAGATTTGTTAATGTTAGCAAGCAATTTGGGTTTTGAAAGCGTAATAAAAAGCCTCATAACAGGAGTGTCTGAAGCTGGCATCTGGGGTGTGAGAGCTCCAGGCTCTTGGTTAGTGACCCCCATTATAGAATAATGTATTTCACTGTTCTATCATTTATACATGTTGGAGAAGAAATGGGAGTTTAATTGTCCCAAAGAGGCTATAACTGGATTTTTGCCCATTGGTCTTATTTTTTTTAACACATTTGTCTATTTGGAACTGGGAGACTGGGCATTAGAAGAGGAAGTATGAGAGAGAGTAGAGTCAAAGTTCATGATGTATGAAGACATCTTTATGATACCTGCTCTGTATTCAATATACCCTCAAAAAGTCAAACATGAGGACTATGGCATGGTTCTGTTGGTAAAGTGCTTGCTACTCAACCCTGATTACCTGAGTTCAATTCCAAGCATTCATGTGATAGCCAGGGATGGTGGTGGAGACAATGGAATCTCTGGGTCCTTCTGGCCAACCAGCCTAACAATACCAGTGTGCTTCAAGTTCAGTAGAAAGGCCCAATCGCAATGAATAAGATGGAATGCTATCGGAGAAGACATTCAGCATTGACCTCTGGCCTCACATGAACCCACCCGAGCACACAATAATAATTAATTAATTAAAACAGCAAAATGACCTCCCTACAAAAACCGTATAGGCATTCTCTTGGAAAGTGGTCATTGTTTTCTCTTAGTTGAGTGTACAAAGTTTCTTCAATTGTAAACATTGCTCTTACTGAATTTGGATCCATTCATCACCACAACAAGAGGAAGCCGGCTAGTAAGTACTTTTCCATTAGGCCTCATTTTGTTAGAAAACCAGAATTATACTACTAATAAACATGAAGCCACCCATGTAAATTAACAATATGAGAACTCTAGCAGCCAGACATACTTGGGATGTATATGACAAGATAGTTTCATAAGATGACAATAAGCCTATTTGAGATTTTGGCTACCAAGCTTAAATAAGTTTTCTGTATTTTTCCAGCTAACAAAAAAATTGTTTTTCTGT